AAAAAAACAACAAAGAAAAAGGGACTATCCTTGACAGATCAATTGAATATACTGACCATAGATGATGGCAAATTCTTTCAGATGTATGCAGTAATAACTAACCATCTGGTCTAAACAAAGACCTACGGGAGTGATTCAGTACTCTTTAATAAAAGAGCATAAACAGAAGTCCTATTAGTACACATCACACTGTCTTATTAGTATGGGTCCTGTGAAATGGGCTTTTGGCAGTTAAAACATACCAGTTTTAAAAACTATTGGCAGTGCTCATCATGATGGTAGGTTGAACATGCTTTAGGGAATAGAACCTGCCCTCAGTGCTTCCAATTCCTCCTCTAAGAAATCCAGTGTTGTAAGCCAAGCAGGTCTCTTCTCAGGGCAGAATGGGCACATTGAAAGTGCTAATGTAAATACAGTCTGAAATGTCAAAACTCAGTTTTGTTTCTCCATTGCCACTTCTTTCCAATTGTTCCTCATCTTGCTGCTCCTGCAGATGATTCCCCTGCCTCTTTGGCACAATATTCTATACAGTATACATTTTCTCAGCTGCTGATTAACTATATAGAAATAACTATAGATAGATAGTAACAGTTTGCATTTTGATGTCACAAACCCAATTATCTTTGCTCAAGGAAAATTTCTGGTATGCTTATATTTCTGCAGAAATAATTCTGTGGTATTCAACCTATGATTTTTTGTTATTTTCAACAGAAGGGGTAATAAGTACAAATGTCTAGTAATTAAAGATGTGATGTCACTTCACCTTTAAAAATATCTCTTTACACCTGGGTTACACAGTAGGCCTGGCAGGAGCTGTTGTCTGTGTCACTGTGCACTTTGAGTTCTCTGATGTGATTCTGCTGATTTGCTGGTTGGTATGGTTACTGCTGCGTGAAATCTCTTCTGAGTCTGGTGGCCAACACTGTACTTCTGTGAGTACATTTCTGTGACTGTGTGACTCTGTGAATGAACAAGGCTCTAGGATGTCTGGGTGACACTGGCATATAGCGTTCCCGTAACACTTTCTGTGTAGCAGACCCTGTGCACATTAAGTTACGTACTGCAGGGGATGAGTTGTCTCTCTCATTCTGGCTGCACAGGTTTGCAAGGTCAGTAACACAGCCAGCCAAGAGTCATCCTAGTTTACACTTAGAGGTGGAACTTCTTGTTTCTTATCATGACTACCTCAGTGATGCACATGAGATAGAGCAGCACTCATCTTTCCAGGTTTCCATTTCATATCTGCTAGTGTGTCAGATCAGAGTAGCCTCTCAATGTTTTTCAATTTATAGTAACGGGTGGAGACTGATTGAAATCACATTTTAGTGGGGAGACCCTTATGAGTGTTAGCACAGTCGCAATATCTCTTTGAATACAATTTTTTATCAAGTTAATTAATGAAACAAAGAAAAAAAAAAAAAAACCAACAACCAAATTTACACTTTCACATACCAGATCTAGTTTATCTTTATCAAAACAAAAAGAAATACTTATTTTGAAATTAGTCCTTACTACAGCCATTTGTGAAAACAAATATTTACATTGCTGAGGTCCACTTAACACAATTAATGTACAGCTTCCTAAGCCTGTCATCTTCATAGGCTTTTGGGCTGAGTACTGGGTTGATCAAAGTAAGAGAGGCCAGTTCAGGCCATTGGTCTAATGATGCTTGGATTAATGATGCCCACATGACCAGAAGTCTTTCCTTTCTGCCATGGAACTAGCCTACACTCTCTGTAGCCATGAAATGATGCACAAGCAGCTCTTTTATTTCTCCTTCCAGGAAAACAGCCAAAATCTGCGTATTTGTCTATATATCCAACTATTTTGTTGTCTAAATGTTTTATCAGCAGTGTTAAATAGCAAACGTTTCTCCTCCACCTCACCTCCACAGACTTTTTCAATTAACTTGTTTTTTCATTTTTTTTTCTTGGAAAAAATACGTTTTCTCTGTTAACAGGATAATCATTTCGTTTCCAGTTCAATTTAATTCCACTCTTACACTTTGTATTTGTGTGAGAAGAGTCACTGGGGATTTTGTCTGACTGCTGTGACTTTTCTAATATGATTGAGAGTGACTTGGCAACTGCATCAGTCAGTTCCTTCAGGACCCTGAGATGCATTGCCATCAGTCCCCATAGACTTATACTCATTCAATCTCATGAGGTGTTTTTGGATTTGCTCTTCTCTTACTTGTGGGAGGGATTTTGTTCCCCCAGCTCCCATCTAGAAGTTCCAGGTTCTGAAAGGCACAATGAGTCTGGTTGGCTGTGAAGACTGAGGCAAAGATCCCATTCAGTACTTCAACCTTTTCCGTGTCTGTTGTAAGCTTTCCCTTGTCATTTATCATGGGGCACCAATCTACCTGTTGAGTCCATTCTCATTATTTTTCACATCCCTCGCCAAGTTCGGTTCTATCATTGCATTTTTCCCAGGCCACACATCCCTTCTTGCACTGCCCATACATGCCCTTTTTTCTCAGTTTGACCAGTAGGTTCTTGCTGAGCAAGGACACTGCAGACAGTTGGGTTTTTAGAATTAAGTTAAAATTTTTAAACATTGTGGAAATTAAGCACCTCTACATCTCTCTCTGCTGATACATTGCCACAGCATTTAACCACGACTAATGTCTGACTTCTGTGCTGTACTGAAGGGAAAGGTCATAGATAGCTGTGTGTATAAAAACTGTGCTTAATCCTCTGCATGCAGCTATTTTAATATAAAGACAAGGTTAAAGGGGGGCTCAGTCATGGGTGAAGTGCTGTTCAAAGTAGCAGCCTTGCCAACTGTTTCATTTTACAGTGACTCTCATATAATAACGGCAGCTTTCATTTTATTTTACCCACACAAATCACAAATTCCTCGCTCTAATGAAAGATACCAAAGGACAAAACAAGAATAGTGAGCAAAAGCTAGTAAAGATTATTGCTTCAGATTTCATAGTATGCTATGATAGCTCTGTTTTCCAGATGTACTGCTGGTGTAGTTACGGGTACATTGCCCCAATCAGATGTAAAGGACAGCATCCTTCATACACTAGGATGAGCCTAAACCCAGGATCTCATAAACCAGTAATTTCTTACAGGCATGTGACTTCTGCTGTCAAAACAATGAAATCCTTAAAAAAAAAAAAAAAATTAAAGGAGTTATTCCTCGTAGAGTTCTGCTGAGTGCTGTCTCTCACAAGTGTTTTTGTGAAGAGATGGCCTTCAACTCACCCTTGGATGCTTGGCGAATGGTAGCAAATGCAAAGCAAGCTCTGGCGTTCTTCAGCTATGTTAAGGTGCTATCAGATAGAACAGAATGGTCTCTATGTACCAAAACTAAGTTTTGTTGTAATTCTTAGCTGTATTCGTAGTGTCTGCCTCTCAGATTTTGCAGCTTTATTTCAATTCTTCAGCATAACAAAAATATAACATTCTGAACAATTGCATAGAAAGAGCTTAACTCTTAAATTTACTGATGTCAAAGCAGGAAATTAGTGTTTAGATGATGTTTAGAGAGTGAAAATAAAATAAGAAAAAATAGGAAAAGCTAAGAGTATACATCGAGAATTCCAGATACGGAATGTATGTCATGGAACTGAAATAATATTTTCAAAAAATGTACAACTTTCTATTATTTTTCTGTATTTTGTTAGCATATTGATGATTGTGTTTAATGTGTTCAAATATTTTGCAAGCCTTGCACTTTTGAACACAGGAATTTCATAAAATTTTTTTTTAATTTTGAATGAAGACATTTCCAGTGCTTTAAAAAGTTTCCCCTTGAACGCGAGCTAATTAGGGGATATTTTCAAGTGAAAAATCACAGTAAATAAAGGAGTTGTAAATCCATAGTAATAGAAATTGTTATAGCCATTTTCTGAATTTATTTAGCTCTAGTGTAAGATAAATAAATTAAATCAGAAAAAAGCTTAATTTTTAATCTTGAGTTAATACCTTGTTCAAAAGATGGTTATCTGCCCCTCATCAAACAGGCTGATACTCAGATAAGTCAGAAAATGCTTGATCCTTCTAGCAAACTGAGTTATGCATTTGGAGATTGTGTATCAGCGTATCAGACTGAGCATTTTAAGAGTCAGTGTATGAAGTGTGATGCAAGAGCTTACTTGGTATTTGTCCTGAGACATTCATACCTAAGGGGCTTGTAGATTCATGGGGTGATTCAGGTTGGAAGGCTGCTCAGAAGGTCGTTATGCACTTGCTTCCCAAAGACTAAATTAGTATGAGGGTCATTCCATGATATTTCAGGGAGCGGACCACATCACAAAACTAAACTAGGCTAAGTCAAATGCTGTATATTTCCTGAGATGGGAGCAACAAGGCAGAGGATTCAACTCACAAAAAGAGGTGCAATTCTCATCTGTAAAAACAGAATTTCTAGGATCTAATACAGAGAGTAACAGGGCAAAACATCCAGATTTCAAACAGCACAGGTCTCTGCCTAGTGTAATAGAAAGAGAGCTTGTTAGTGATGTTCTGTGAATGAGATTTGGCAGTGAGTATGTATCTTTGGACATGGACAGTGAGCCATAGCTGGAAGAGGAAGGAAGTTTTTTAAGACTAAATGCCAGAATTTCCTTTTTGCTGAAAGTGTTACTCAACTCAGTTCTCTGAAATCACTTTATTCATGCAATCCAGTTTATCTTCTTAGCCATTCGATACAGTTGATCTTTAAAGCTATTTATAAAAGCACATAAACAAATGGTGGCGTATAAACTGTCTTGGAAGAATTAAGAATCTTGTTTAATTTTCATTTAAATCATAAGATCTCCGAAAGTTCTGGTGTAGTACAGTGGGGATTTGCCATGACTTCTTTGCATCACTGTCTTGTTTTCAAAAAACTTTCCAATCTTCTGTGTGGTTGATGCAGTTCATTATCTATGTCAGTTTGTATTTCTGCAATGTCAAGACCTAGATCAAAATGCCTGGCAAGCTGACAATTAGTTTTTTTTTGTGTGTCTTGTTTTGTTTTTTTGCTTTATCTGAATTTGATAGGGAATTTTCCAAGGAAAGAGAAAAAGCCAAGGCCCGAGGGGACTTTCAGAAGCTACGTGAAAAGCAGCAGCTTGAAGAAGATCTGAAGGGATATTTAGACTGGATTACACAGGCAGAAGACATTGATCCTGAGAATGATGAAGAGGCTGATGAAGAAGGCAAACGGAACAGTACGTGTTCTTTACTCAGTGCTGATTCTGTGTGGAATGGTTTGATTGCTTTCAGTGAGTTACTGTGGAGAACGCAGCCTAGCTGGTGTTGATCTCTGATTTTAAATTTGCATAAGTTTATTAGCAGAACAATCATGTCTATTAATATGTTGATACTTGAAGTTATGGAAAAGAATTTAGAATTTTACAATATATTTAGAATTTTTCTCTGACCTGTGCATTTACAACTCTTAGCCTGCACTCAGTCTACTCAGATTGAAAAACCTTGCTTTATTTGTATCTCTAAAAAGTTAGTGCATATAAGCTGCGTACTGCTAAGTATCGTCGTAAGTCCTTGATCAAGAAGAATACGTATTTATGTGTAGTTGCATGCAGTAGAAGCAATGACTTAAAAAGCTTAAAGTATACAGTCAAAACTCCAGTAGAAAAATAATCTTGTGCTAATAGGATTTTTTTGAGTTTCAAAGTGAGGAAATGACACTCTAGATCATTCTGATATTCAAGAAGACCACTATATTGAATCTTTTCTACTAGAAGTTTTCATATGCAATTAGAAATGGGAAAATTTTGGGGTACCTTAATGGAATGGTAAGAAGTATAGTTGTCACTTACTTACAGCATGTTAGTGTATATAGTAGTGTACAATGGAAACAGTAGTCTATTACCACAATAACTTTCTAGTGCTTCTGTTCAGAGTTCCAACATAAAGAAGCAAGTTAGTTTTGTGATCTTGCAAAAACTACGAGTTATCATCTTGTTTCTGTATGTGAGAAATTTTAATTAATAGCAGTATTTTAATGTAACAATTTTATATAAAGTATTTTAGTTTATTAGCTGTGTTTGCATAGTAATAAATAAAAAGAGAACTTCTAGTGCTGTACATAAATGAGAGCATGGATGTTGCTGGTATAATACTGAATGTAAGATTAAAGCCCAAATTCCAATATAGGTATTGATCATAAATAGCACCTTATTGTTTGGTTCATACTCCAGAAAGTATATGTAAGGCAGTGTGTTACAAGTAGTTTGTCAAAGGCAACTCAGAAAAACATTTTTTGTGTTGAAATAATTCATTTTTACTGTACTCCTTTTTTGCACTAGCACTGCTTCTTTGTGAACTGCTCTTGAAAACTATAGTCCTTTCCAGAAGCTTAAATATTGACTGTTGAGGATAAGAGCAACAGTTTTATACTGCAGTAATTTATGAGTGAACATTACAGATAGAAATGTGAAATAGATAGAACATTGCAGATAGAAATGAGTCTTATCTAGGGCAGTGCATAAAAGCCAAAGAGTTCACGGAGTTGACTATATTAGTTATTGTTAATAATTTTGTTTGGAAGGTATGCATAAAATAGGAATTTGTCAGTATGCAATCCTTAAACTGAGAAGTGAATAAGTGCATGTTTTACAAAGTAAATATACTGTACAAGTCCACCATACAGGGTTGTGGATGATGTCAACTGTGCTGTGACCTGTGATCACCGTTGACTTGGTTTGCAGGTGAAATTCCTGGGAACTTTTTGCATCCTGTTGCAGTGGTCTGCTTGTTAATACACTGCAGAAGAACCTTTTGCTCCAGCATTCTTTAAACAGTTTATAGATCATGTTGGTCTTTCATAAATCAGAAATACTTGTTTGCTCAGTTGTTGGTTTTGAGAGAGTTTTTTTAATCTACATTGTTAACGTAGGCATTCTGGGGTGATTTAAGAGCTGAAAGAGATTTTCAGCGGAACAGTAGGATAGGAGATGTAATTAATTAATTAAATTCCAAGAACTGAATTTCAGATGGTTTCTTCTATTTTAAATATAAAAAAGTCAAAGCCAAGTTACTAACCTGGAAAATACCAAAGAATACTAGAAGCCTCATTATCAGCATTGTAAAACTACTGAATACTTTATGTGTTGTATCTTCAAAGCCCTGATACATTGCCTGTCAGGTGTCCTTATACCCCTACAAAGCAAATGTTAGCAGTATTCCTTTGACTTCTGAGAAAAGTAGTTGAAATGTAGATCTTCATGAGTGAATTTACTGTGGGATGATCAATGCAGCATTGCTCTTCAGTGAATAATGTTTCCTTTGCAGATGGTCAGCTTTGTATACCTAAGGGATATCTATTTAGTCCCATCAGCTTGATGTCTACTATTCTAGCAGTAGAGCATAAAGAGAGCTGGCAGACCTGATGTGTTTCCTGCTTCTGCAGCTCTGCTGGCACTGTTGATGTTGTTTTGAGGAAAGAGAAGTAAGAGATCAGGGTGGTAAAGGTTGCAGTATACCGGGCCCTTAACTGTGGCTGAGATGTTGTGAACTGTTGCTGGCAAGATACTGATCTTAACATCAGTTTTCCTCCACAAAGCAGACACAGCACACACAATTATCTGGAGTGGTCTCTAAGTTCTACATTCCAGTCGCATCACAAAAATCATTTCTGGTTTGGCTGAGTCATAAAAGGTTCAAAAAATGTTTTGCGCAAGCTCGATGTTTTGTTTTACAGTCAACTATTGATCTGAAAGCATTCCTTTGGCACTGAGCAGGCTTGTGTATGTGTGTGTTGAGTGGAAATTTCCAGCAATTTCCTAGCATTCCTCTGGGTTTATGCACATGTGCTTGAATATGGGGCTGGGGATTTCATTTTTAGTACCAAATGCTGCAAGATGTAAAGGAGAAAGGTTTGCTCACCTTTACTCCACCTCATATTGTCTTGCATTTCTGCTGCACATAGCATTGTGTGGCAAGGTGTGATGAAAGAGCGTGAGCTATCTATCCAGTTACTCTAGAGAAAGCTTTTGGGTTTGGAGTATAACGGTAATAATAAGCTACTTGTTTGTGAGCAAGGTGAAATTCAGCTAGCTATCATCAGGTTAATAATATTGAGTAGTCAAGTTAGGAAATAAATGTAGTTCAAATATACCAATGAATGATATATTGGATATATAGAATGGTCTTTGAAGCAAAAGAGAGAGCTGGGCTCCGGTGTGAGTGGAAGAAGCCACAGAACTACACTGAGTGCCTCTGGACAATCAAGACTGCCACTGATAACCTTTTAGAAAGGTTTTTTGAGAAAACCTTTTAGCTAGTAGAATTGCCATTGTGTCTCTAGGAAAAGACTAGCTGTTATATTTATATGAGTTAAAAGCTACTTACTTGGAGGTCAGCAAAAAGAATCTCTCATTGACTTCAAAGGAATTCGAATTTAGCTCAAATTCCAAAAATCCTGAAAGGTGAGGTCTGTAGCTGTGATAAGCTTTTCTCTTGGCAATTTTAATTTGTTTTGTCTAATATTGCTTGTTCTGTATATATGGACACGTTTTTATTTTTTTTTTTGCGTTGCAACTGCTGCCATCTACTGTGTAAATGCTGGGATTACATGTACTTAACGCGAAGGGGTTACACTGGCTGACTTAATGGAAGAAAAGAAGAAAAGAAGACTTAGTTTCTTTGGCCGGTCTTCCAATAAACATGGTAAAACATGTTCGAGTTTGCAGTTGAGCTTTCTCTGCATTTGATGTGGTAACTTTTGAAAGCACATGCTATATGCATTTTCTGTACCACAGACATATACACCTACAGCATGGAGATACTGGTGCATGCAGTTCTGCTCTTCTAAGTGCATGTTTCTCATAGACTGGTGCTGCAGTGCTCTGCCTTCTTAGAGCAGTTTTTAATCTGTTTAGATTTTAACTGAAGTGACTTTGAGTGTTTTTATTTAAGTGCAGGCTTTCTTTTTTAAAGATACCATATACAAAATATGCTTTGAATTCAGGTGTGAAAAAATCCATGACAGTATGTCACAAGCTTTATAATTTACTGCAAGTTTTAAATAGCATGGCTATAATATAATAATATTAGTATTTGCTATTGTAATTCTACTTTTAATGTAGAATCTAGCAACAGAAAAAGAAAACTCTTACTGTATCTGCTCTTGTTTTTGATAGTTTTCTGTAATTTGTGTTTTCTTCATTTTCTCTCTCACCCACAGTGGAGGCAGACAAGGGTTCTTATGTGATACATACTTTCAGATCTGTTCCTTTTTAATATTGGTGAATGTATTGATTTGACATAATCACAGTGATAGCAGTTAGGAGATCTGGTTCCATGTAAAATGAATTTTCTGGAGCAGCTGATATCCTTGCTGTCATGAAACGATCACTATTGTGACTCAGACTGAGGTTTGCAAATCTGGTCCTTAACAGAATGTGTAAGATTAAGTCAGGGATTGTTAGAATGTTATGGACTCATTTTTAATAAATATTGAATCAGCTTAAACTTATTTACGTACTCATATATGGTAAGACGGATTATTTCATTCTCCTTCCACCGTCATGTAACCAAACCATTTCAACCTATTGGGAGTTTTTGAGGGCTGACAAAAACAAAAAAAAAAGAGAGAGCCCACAAAAATGAATGCTGGCAGTACGAAAATTAAACCTGCACTGCGTAAGCAGACACCTCACTACTGTGTCATGTGCAACGTCTTCCTGGCAGCCTCTCCATAAGCTGAACTTATCCTGAGGTGCATCGCAGTCAGAGCAGCGAGAACCCCTTCTTTCTGATGTGCTTTCTTTCCCCTTCTTTCTGTGCTTTACGTAAAGTAGATTTAGGGAAATTTGTGATGAATTTTTGATGAATTCTCTTCTGGGATTTTTTTTGTTCTGATTTCCTTTGTGACCACCTCAAAGATGTGGCATAAAGAATTCAGAAAATCAACATACTGATTTGACAAAGAGTTAGGACAGTATTGAAGGTAATGGAACCATGGAATTATCAGCCAACCAGTTATTGACAGGCACAAGGAGAGCATTCTGCAAGGTTTGCTTTAGAATGTTGCCAGTATAGCACTGTTATTAGCAGTCATAAGATTCTCTCCAGTAGCTGTTTTCTTATCCTCATAAATAAAATGTAATAGCTGATACTTGTGACCTAATTTCTCTATCCTCAGGAAGGTATCAAGCTGCATGCTGTACGGGTTAGCTATACTGCCTAATGCAAGCATTCTTTCCTTTAAAATAAAGGCAAAAAAAAAAAAAAAATCTGCTATCTTCTTGTGAGTGCTGGAGTACCAGTTTAAAGAGCTCAAAGCTGGCCCTCAGTGTGCTGTGCCCAGCGCACACCACCCTCTCAAAGATGTGTTCCTGGGACTCTTTCAAGACTTGCCAAGTTGCTTGCATTAGTTAGTGTGAATGTAGTCATGCAGTGGTCTTGCTCTTTCCATCTAGCTAAAGGTTTAAAGACTTGTCAGCAATGTTGGAGCTAGACTTACACGTGTTGTTTTTCTCAGTACTTCTGTCAAGTTTTTCTGTTGGCAGACAAATTACAAGATAATGGTAGTTGTGTTCCTCATTTCAGTTGAACAGGTTCTTCTTCTCTTCCCTTTTAGTAACACAGCACCTGCAAGTCACTAATGAAGCTAGAGCAGTACCCTCTTTGAAATGAAGGGTGACATCCTGGCTACAGAACTGAAAATAGGAGCAAATATTTTTGTCTTCGAAATTTGTTTTTCTTAATGTTCAAAAAGGGCTGATATCATTGGGTAGACATGGGTTCAATTTATATTACTTTATCCATTTTTAAAAAAATTATTTGTCATGTATTCAAAATGAGTGGCATTTGTGTGATACTGAGTGACTGGATTCTGGGTAGTACTCCTAGATGACAGAAGGGTTGGTGTATTGGACATAAGCGTGAGAAGCAGTCTCACGTGTTGCCTGCGTAAAACTTACTGCAAATGTGAGCCTAGCTCTGTTTTTATAGAGCAGCTCTTAATAACAGTGTTTGAAATGAGACTTCTGCACTCTTACATGTGCAGTTGCCCTTCACAAGTGCTAAAATGTTCACTTGGTGGCTTTCAGGTTGTGTTTCCTAACAGCATGATGTCACACAGCAAAAGACAGCTATTTCTTTACTAGACAGAGAAACTCCTTGCATTTATTACAAAAGATGTTGGCATTTTTAAGTAATAACTCTTCATTCTGAAGGTCTGAGACAGTGCTTGAAATAGTTTTGTCTTTTTTTTTTTCTTAAAACATTGACAATATTAATTATTCAATTTGGATCCCAGTGAAGATTACCTGCTTTAGTTTTGAATGAAATTCCTTTTAACTCCATGACTGAAAGCTGTGAAGTTGATACAGGACTAGCAGGGTTCATTTTTAACTTTCAGTTATATAATGCTAGAATTGAGGCACTTGCAGGTGCTGACAAGGGATTTTTTTTGTATATCACAATTAAATTAATATTTAGAAAGAATAACCAAAACAGAAGAACCTTGTGAAAAAAGTTTTGCTGTGCTTACTGCTTGGAGTGCCTTGTTTTATTCAAACACCTGCATGGATATTTTGTATTTTCCTTTGCTATGCCAAGTCTGTGTTAGCATTTCATACTGTAGTTACTTAAATTTGTGGGGGCAGGTTCTCAGCTTTTGCTGCATAGAGCAGTCAGTCTCTCAAGTATAGAACTGATGAGCACATAAATCTACCTGTGACCACTAGCATGTATCTCTAGGTCAGTACTGAGGCAATATAGAGGCTATGGAGAAACACTTTCAGCTCTCATTTTGTACCTGATTTGTATACAGAACAGTAAATTCAGTGCTTGATTCTCACTTACATTAATGTGTTAAATAAAGCCCACTTCAAGCCTCTTTTCAGCTACCAAAATAGTGGGAGATCCAGAACAGAAAGAGGCAGCGTAGCTCTTCTGCCTTCATTACTCAGTCTACAGACACATTCTTTGGAATATATATATCCCAAATATATATATCCCAAAAGCAACAAATTATCGGGACACACAACCTAGAATACCCAGCTATTATTTTATGCTTTTTTTCTTGCCATTCTACGGCAATTTCCACCCCCTCTCTTTTTTCTTACTCGGTATGGTATTTCTACTATATAAGCCAGAAACATTAATTTGACATTTTTCTTGTTCCTGAGTTTTTCCTTTAGTGTTTGCTTTGCACAGAGATACTGTTTCCCCCTGGGAAAACAGGAAGTACTTCAGGAGAACTTCAGTTGTTCATCTTTTCCTAACACTTATTGTACGTTAGTAGAAGTAAATGGTGATGAACAATTGACAAGTGAGCTTTGTCTGATAAATCATTAGCTGTAATTGCTAACTCTGATACCTGCTTGAGTGAGGATTGGACTAGGTGACCTCCAGAGGTCCCTTCGAACCTCAATTGCTCTGTGATCCTCCACATGTGTGGTAATTAACTGATGTGGTACAAATGTAACAGCCCCCTTTCTGCTAGCATCCCTTCTAGTACCCATTCTGACATTCCCAATACTCCTTCCTGACTTCTCATATGATATTTGCGGGCACAGTTGATTTTTAATGTCTTGCTTTGATAATTCCATAATAAAATGAAAATCATAGACTGGCCAGTATGATCAAAGTGCAAGTCACTATTTTCAGAGGAAACTGTGGCATTTCTTGGAATTAGCAATGTGTTACCAAGAGTTCAGCTGATAATCACCTCCAAAGTGGTAACAGGACACTTAAAAGGTCACAGAATCTAGCACTGGGTTTATTCATTAGTTACTGTTCTCTTTGTTCCACATTTTATCTACGTTGCATTCTGTAGTGCTTTTATGCAGTTGTGACGAATAACTGAAACAAAAGAAGTTGCAATACACCCTGGTATTCTTTGTGCTTTCTTTTACTATATGTGAAGGACTGATGAAGTGTCTGTTTAACTTCATCTGCTGTTCCTCAGCCCTTCTGAGTTCTCATTAGATCTGCAAAATATGGAGGTATTCTTGCCATAGAGCAGGAGGTCAGATGCTGCGTAATGCCCTGCTTGGCTATCAGTCTAAAACAATTGCTGTCTCCTAACAGCAAGCATGCCCACCAGTGAAACCGAGTCAGTGAACACAGAGAATGTGAGTGGAGAAGGAGAGAACGCAGCATGCTGTGGGAGCTTATGGTGAGTACACATTGATGGTTCAGCCATCAATATTCTACACCATCAGATAATTTACTTAGTTTTAAATGATTTCCTTTATTTCACTTAGAATATTTGTGGAGTTTTTAGAATGGTATTACAGAAAATAAATAACAGATAGTAACATTTTAGCATTCACAAAGCATTTTGGGAAGATTATTGTTATGTATATGTAATTTCAGTTTATTGATTTGAAAAATTCCATCATTCCAAAGAGATTGAACTTGTGTTAGCTAATTTTTCTGCACTCTTAAAATTTTATTTTTCTTTTCTTTTAGTCAAACCATCTCAAAATCCAAGTTCAGGTCAGTATTTTCCTCTCTTTTTTAATTAGTTTATTTTCTTGATACACTTTATACATCGTTAAGGTCTAATGTGCTTATTCTTTATTTATTGTACTTTAAATTTTACTGTTTGAAAATGCCAAATCTTGATCTAATTTTCAGTCTTCTGGCCTGATTCTCACTCCAGCCTCAGGAATGTTGTTCTGCAATAGAATTACTCTGTGTCTCAGGGCAAAGTAAAATCAGGACATAATTTGTCAGCAGTATTTGTTTGACTATGAACTTTTTTGCTTTTGGATAAAATTAGAAAATACTTTTAATTGTATGCCTTACCTGCCATGTCGCATGTGAAATCTGAAGTTAGTCTTTGGAAATATATTTCTGATGAGTCAGATGGGAACTTGGTTAAGGGTAGTATATCCTAGAAAGATACAGCAACTACCTGCCAGTTTATATCAACCACATGTTATTCTAACCTATATATACATATGTAAATATGATCTATTTGTAATCTTCCAGGTGGATTTGAGATGTTTTGATACTAGAGCTGCTGCTTTTCTATTCTAGTAGTGAAGGCAACGGTTCCTGCACAGATTTTAGTGCCCAAAATTTATCTTAAGCATCAGTCTTTACATCTCTGTGAGCTAACTAGTGAAAACACAAGGTACTCCTAATTCAAAGATACAAGAATTACAGATGTGGTTTGAACAAAAGAGTACAGTTTAAAAAGTGTCATGTTATTCTGAAACACCACAGATAAAAAATAATCTGAAACTGAATATTGCTAGTTTTATATAGATCTACTAGCAATATAGAAAATATAAGTTGATTGCAGATAACCAAGCTAAACTTCATAGGCTGTGGTGACTGACTTGATGGGATACTGAGTTCAGTCATGGTGCAAGTCTTGACTTCCCATTTCAAGTTGGTTTCACATTTGTAACTGGGACCTAATGACCACCTAAACACGAATATTTGAGCAAACAAAAGTGATATTCGGAACATATTTGTGAGAATAATGGTTTTCTTATGAATAGTTATGAAGAAAAAGCAATACATTATTTAATGAGAACATAAATGCTGAATAATTTGGTTTGTTGTAACAAACTGTATCAATTGAAATTGTCCTTTGTGGTTTGAATACTTATACAACTGCTGTATTTTGTGAAAAATGCTTCATAATTTCATAAAACAGTATTATGTCGTTGCAAATTTATGCAAATGAATTTTTTCTTCAAGATAAAAGGCTACGTTTCAATTCTTTCCCTGTCATGATGTTAGTGCTTTGTAACTGCGAGGAATGGTTACTAAAAAATAGAAGACTATGAGAGAAATTCATATAATGTATTTTCTGATTTTGTATATTCCCAAGTTCTTTTGTCACAGCAAGCCATCTACTTATTATTTCTACTTATTTCTTCAGTTATTCCAATCTACTGAAAGTAGACCATTACAGTTTTTCCCCTTTTTGAATTTTTGCTTCATTTCTTTATTTTTTTAAATATGCTCATGTCATTCAAGCACTCGTACAAGTGCGTGCCATTGCACACTCTTCAGGAGCATTTTCATATGTGTGCCATTTGGTTGGAGCATTTTGTCACCGATTTCACAGGCCCTGGGGAAGAAAAGTCCCATTGGCTTTAGAGAGCGATGACTCACAGACAGCGAGGCTTCTCTTGGCTCGTATGAGTAGAGAGATTCAAACAATATTATCTTTATCATGTTTGCTTAAAAGATTGGGTGTTCTGTAAGCTGTTCTGCCTACCTGGTAAGTGAGCCCTCCCATTGCTGGCTTTGGACTCTTGAGCCAAGGACTGGCAAGATAAGAGTGTTCTTGAATGCAGTGTCGCTTTAGGTCAGGACAGGGTATAGTTTCTTTAAAGAGTTAGAATACTGCAGAGGTCTGAAACATCTTTCTACCAATCAAAACATGTATTTATTTCCAGTGCTACAAGTTTAAGGTATGCAAAGAAAATTTTAATGTCTGAATGCGTTGACAACTCAGATGTTTTTATGGCAGCATACTGTATGTAGATTCTGTTTACTGAGAGAAATTTAAAGCATTTCTAACTTTACATATAGTCAATACATTATCTCCTAATTCAGGCACTGGATGTGATAACCAGTATACCTAGTTATATGTAACAAATTTAAAAAGCTGTTTAGTGTCATTTTTATTCCTGTCTGCATAGTTTCACTTAAAGTCTACATTTTGAGATTAAATTAATCTCAATTCTATTTCTTTTGCTTTATGGACTTTTCTTTACTACTATTAATTTTATGGGGCCTGGGAAGACAGGTTACTTGATTGCCTTGTTACTCAATGAAGTATTGAATCCAATTTAATATAATTGTCATTCCCGAAGATGCGGTTTACTTTTAAAAACACTCAACAAAATCTAAAAGAGGAATAAGAAACTAGCACTCCCTAACCTGCAACTGATAATAATTTGCACAAGTAACTGAATTACTTAACGTTTTATGTCAGTGCACCTACTCACATGTGTATACTTGCAGTATACTTCTTCAGAGATGAAACCCTCCTTAAGTTGACATGCATTTTCTGTATAATAAAAATTTCCTTTTATTTGAACTTTCAGTCGGCGCTGGCGTCGCTGGAATCGATTTAATCGAAGAAAATGTAGAGCTGCAGTAAAATCTGTCACATTTTATTGGCTTGTTATTGTCTTGGTCTTTCTGAACACATTAACTATCTCATCAGAACATTATAACCAACCTGACTGGCTGACCCAGATCCAAGGTACAGACAAAAATTATTTGTCCTGTTTGTAACTGTGGATACTTGCATTCTGTATATCCTTCATATTTTGTCATTTTGTTTGTTGCTGTCCTGAAGATATTCAGCCCACCCAAAAGGCAATACAAGAAATGATTGACTGTATTAGATTTCCATTTCCATAACATAGCTGAATTGCATACCAGCAAAAGAATGGACAATACTAAATTGCAAATAACTGTACTTTTGTTGTTAAATCATGAAAGGTGAGGAAGAAAATGGTAATTGGCACAGCACACTATGAGCTGCGTTGTTCAGTTTTTGGTGTGGACTCAAGTTGTGAGTTGAGCAGCCATGAACTACCCAACATGTTGGAAAAACAAATAGTACTTAGGTTGGCAGGAACGTTGGCATCCGTGTGTAACTGATGTCACGTTAAGCAACAAATACTGTCCAAAGTAAAAAAAAAAAAAAAAAAGAAGAGTGAAATTAATGAAACCATTCATTTCTTCCTTTTTAAGCAATAGGCCTTATAGAAAGTATAATATTAAGATGTTAAAATGAGAATGGAAGCTATGAGACAACTCAGAAATATCATGCTTTTTTTTTTTTTCAATATTTTGTTCCAGATATCGCAAATAAAGTTCTTCTGGCTTTGTTCACCTGTGAAATGTTAGTAAAGATGTACAGCTTGGGTCTACAGGCTTATTTTGTTTCTCTTTTTAACCGCTTTGATTGCTTCGTTGTTTGTGGTGGCATTGTTGAAACCATTTTGGTGGAGTTGGAAATTATGTCACCCCTTGGAATTTCAGTGTTTCGCTGTGTTCGTCTCCTGCGTATTTTTAAAGTAACAAGGTAAGATTAACTAATACTGCTAACTTTAGGGATAGCTGAAGGGTGATCAGCAATTCTTTTGTAATACTTCATCATGCACTGCTCTTTTACTGTTCTTTTGGTTGTTTTTTTTTTTTTTTTTGTTTGGTTGGTTTTGTTATGGTTTTCTTTTTTTTTTTTTCTTTTTTTTTTTTTTTGGTGTGTGTTAACACACGCATTTTAATTTATAGGCACTGGGCATCCCTGAGCAACTTGGTAGCATCCTTGTTAAACTCAATGAAGTCCATTGCTTCACTGTTGCTTCTGCTTTTCCTCTTCATCATAATCTTCTCGTTGCTTGGAATGCAGCTGTTTGGAGGCAAATTTAATTTTGATGAAACTCAAACAAAACGGAGCACCTTCGATAATTTTCCACAAGCTCTTTTAACTGTATTCCAGGTAACTGTCTTTCATCCCCTATGAAACATTTTATCTTTGATGATCAGCAGAACTGTTTAAGTGATCATGTTGCCTGAAAGCAAAATCACAAATGCTGTTTATTCAGTTTACTTCAAGTAGCATTCTGCTCTTGAATTCAGTACTCTGGTAATTCTGCACCATATGTACCATTTGTTTCATGTCTTATTTGATCTATCTATGGAGAATAGCTATCATATTACTTCACAAAATTAAATCTCTTTTGTCCATCAAATTTACACTTAGAAAAAGAGGTGGCACGTTGTCTTATTTTTATTAATTTGTTTCCTTTAACTTCATTAACTATATAAAAGTTCAGCTTTTCCCTATGGAAAAATTGAGATGCATTGTTAGAGGGCATATTTGCATATAAGTTTATATCAGTTACTATAATATAGAAATAATCTTAAAGAGATACTACCAGGTTTATTACAATTCTAAAGATTAGAGATCAGGCTAATCAGTTCCATCTTTCTAACCATTTCCATGTTCAGCTTTGCAGACGTTGCACATTACCACAGTGTTTGGTTTCAGACATTGTAGGTGGATGTTTAAGGCAGGCACTGTAAGACTCAACACTGTATCTGCTTCCTACCTCCTCACTAGTAGTTTCTGTATACAGAAAGTTAGCTTTATTGTGTATTTTGAGCACAGGAAACATAGTTTTCTATTGTTCTTTTTGATGATGAGTTACTAATAATATATTTGCTTCTCAGATTCTAACAGGTGAAGACTGGAATGCTGTTATGTATGATGGCATAATGGCGTATGGTGGTCCATCATCTTCAGGCATGATAGTCTGCATATATTTCATTATCCTCTTCATCTGCGGTAACTGTATCCTTTGTGCTTCATGGAAACATCTCCAAATAGAACTGTGTGCCAGGGTGTAACCATGCCAGGGGCACAAGCAAGATTTCTCCAGAAAAGAGTAAGTTGCAATGGATGTGCATGCTCATTCTGCGCATGCTCAGTCCTTTGAATTGACTTTATAGAGCAATTCTCTTTTTTACATTTCCTGATGAATGAGATTCCAGGGATATCTAAGTGCATCTCCAACCACCACAGTGGCAGGAAGAAAAAAAAATAAAATTATTCTTCCTTCAATGGAAAAACAACCTTATTCTGCCTGCTTGTCTCTGTTTGACATCTCTCCTCGAAATGAATGGATATAGTTTGATCTCTATGACAGTAATTTCCTGTTCATCCTTTTGATGCTTTGTATAGATCTGTTAGGTCTGACACACACCGACCGATCCACTGTATACTACAAAGACCAGATGAGAGAAATTGACAAGGAGAAATATTGAGTCAGCTAGGATTAAGTCTTCTGAAGCATTCCCCTTCCCTGACTTCAGTATGATGGAATAATCCCTTGGTCCCATACAGCAACAGAAACTAGTGTCATTCTCCTAAATTCTTAAAAGGTCAGGAGACAATAAAAAGGCAAAAACATTCTATTTTCTGTACTACACTGTGCTTGTATCGGTATTTGTGCGTAACTGATACAGACTGAAGTAAAAAATTTGATATAGAGTTTCATAGACACAGAAAACAGAGCATTATAGAAATAAATTTTTCAAAATGCCCGAACGTTCTTGACTTTCGAAAGACAATGTTTTGTATTTGAAGCATGCTCAGGCTAACATAAAGTTAAGTTTCATTTTATTTAAAAACAAACAAACAGCATGTGTCCCATTATTTTAAAATCAGTGATCCTGCTGGATCTTGGCTGGTTTTACACCGAGTATTATACTAGTCTGTTAAGTGAGTGCTGTTTGCACTACATTCCAACGTCACCCGTCTCTATGCTTAAGGTTGGGAACATGGGATTTATCTCTCTCGCATTGTCAGCGTTTATACTGATAATACTGATAAACAAAGTGTTGTAAGGCATAATGTCCTTAAAATGATTTGAAATAGATATCTTACTAAATGTCTTCTTGGCCATTGCTGTGGATAACTTGGCAGATGCTGAAAGTCTAAATACTGCTCAGAAGGAAGAAGCAGAAGAAAAGGAAAGGAAAAAGAATGCAAGGTAAAACAGCTCAGGCATGATGAATGAGCAAGAGAAGGGAGGAGGAGAGAAATAAGTTTTTTCCTGTAATTCTTTCTTGCATAAATGGCCTCACTATTTGCAAAATTTATTGGACTTGGGAAACAAAGGACAGCATTTACTTTGACATTGAAGTAAGACCAGTTAGAGTGATTTTAGATAAAAGTTGGCTAGTGATTGGGAAAATAGGATGACCTGAGGAGAGGATGATAAGCCAACTGATGTTTAAACATCACAATGGTAGGATTTATTGTACAATTAGAACAGGAATGTATCTATTCTTGCCAGAGAAAAAGACCATTTGGAATCAGTTCTGTAAGCCTTATCCAGGCAAGAAGAAGACCTTTCCACTAGATTAGTACTGCTTGTTGAAATCAGTGCAAGTTATTTGAGTCCAAGAGCACATTTTATCCATCTTGAAAGGAGTAATGATCATGCATTGAATTTTTTAGTGATTAACTTCTGCAGTTAAATTGAAAATGGTAATGTTTGAAATGGATCAAATGTGTTCAAATGCAGTAGATTTTATTACTTTGATGACTGCTTCTGTGCAACTCACTTTAAATATCACTTAAATTTTTGGCTGTATGTTTTTATGTATACTCAACTTTTAAAAGTATGCTTACGATTCATTTTAAATCTCCTGTCCTTATATGATTTGCATTGTAATTGTTTTTTGCTTGTTTGTATTTTCTAGAAAAGAGAGTCTGGAAAATAAAAAAAGTGAGAAGTCAGAAGGTGACCAAAAGAAACCCAAGGATAGTAAGGTGTTTATTTTTTAAAATATATCTTTTTAGGAAGGAATTATTTTTCAGGCCTGCTATTCTTTATGTGATTTCTTTTATGAAATCATCATCAGTACATTTTTTTCCAGAGAAAGGAAGCAGTTCTGATGCTTGGCATCTTTGCAGAATCTGTCAGCCCAGAAAATGTTTTTGATTTTAATATCCAAAGAAGAGAAGGTCAAATTTGTCATTCCTGTAGGATCTCTGAATGTATTTTGCCTGGTAAATCCAGTGGAAGAAATTAGTAGAAGATGAATTCTTAGTTGAATTTTCAACCATTACTAGTGATTTTTACCAAACCTGTTGGTCATATTGTGATTGTAATTTGCACAGCTAAAAGAATATGGATATTATAGAAAAATTACATTTTAAATATATATATTAAAATGTCAGTTCTGCTCTCTTCTCAGGGTTATCCCATCTTAAAAAATCAGTCTAAATATGGGCATGACTTTCTTGACTTCAGAGTCTTACTTGTTCTGCCTTCTGTTAAACTCTGTATGCAAAGCTCTACTGAAAACTATTTTCTCCTCTTTCATGGCCATAGGTGACAATTGCTGAATATGGAGAAGGAGAGGATGAAGATAAAGATCCTTATCCACCCTGTGATGTACCAGGTATGTGAATACCAGTCCAAAGACAAAAACATTTATATTTGTTAGCTAAAATATCATAGTCTGCTCTCTCTGAACACTGAATCAGCTCCTTTGAAGTCCATGAGACTGCACTCTGTTATCAGTGGATAAATGGGCCTCTAAGTTGCTAAGTACAACATTTTTCTTTAGGTCTCTTAAGAGTATAAACATAAGGGTTAATACTGTGAGCCTGAAGGCTCTTGTGCTAATAGTAACCTGGATGCGAAGGCTAATTCTAAAATGTTTGGCAGTAAAAAGACTTCCCAGGGCTGAAGGTGTTCAGTCACTATTATCTCAGTATCTTCCAGTCCAGCAAGCACCTCTATCTAAAAATCTATTCTGATTGTTTCAAAAAAATTAATCCTTTTTATTTTTAGTAAAACAAATGTTTAATTTATAGTAGGTGAAGATGAAGAAGATGAGGAGGATGAACCTGAGGTACCAGCAGGCCCACGTCCCCGTAGAATATCAGAACTAAATATGAAGGAGAAGATAACACCGATCCCTGAAGGGAGTGCCTTCTTCATTTTCAGCAGCACCAATCCGTAAATATCATTCTGGAGTATTCTCCTTTAGCTCCTCCAGTGGTGAAGGAGTAGATCTCCCTGCACTGAGTGTACAGATAGAACAGCAATATCTGCAGCAAGATAGGAATTGGTTTCTAAGTGACTTAATAAATAAAAACAATTTGTTAAATACATTGATTTGCTTCCCATTATCAAAGATTATAGCATTTTTAATGTATTGACTATGAACTCTGCATAGGTCTGAAAAGTATCTTTTAATGTCTACTAGCCAGCTGTTCTCTTAGTCACTGGATATAAAAGATCTGAACGTGAACTATGAGGATTTTTGCATGAGGTAGAATTCCTAGAAACCATGCGAAGAATGGCATGTTTTTGTAGCAGTGAGAGCGAGGAATGAGGAAAAAATGTAAGACAAGAGGGAGGAAGGAGGTATGTATCCTCTCAGTTGACAGTGTTTTTCCAGATTAAAACTAAAACTGACAAATTATTTAAAAAGTCAGAATCAAGAGTAGTTAGATTTTGGAGGAAATTGAAATCTTTCACCACTCAATCTAACTCCAGAGCATTGCAGATTCTATATATTGATGAGGAAAGCAAGCTTCAGCAGTTAATAAAAGTTGTTACTGATTGTTAGATGGAAGTGAACAAGGGAATGGAATTCAGTTCCTACAGGACTGAAGGTAGCTGTTTCATTCAGGTGTAGCAATTTCAGGGGCAGTCATAGCAGGGCTTTTGAAAGTTATCTGTACAGAAGAACCTTGTTTACTCCATGGCAGAGGTCTTCATGGGTAAGATTAAATGATGATACAAACAAGATATTTGGGGCTTGTATCTTATTATGTGGATTATCTAATACTCAGAATTTTTTGACAAGCTAGAAAGATATCTATTTAAACTGGTAATTTTAAGAACACGTGATGAATGCATGTACACTAGACTTGTTGAACATGTCAATTTCCTTTTGTCCTCAAGTAATTCTGTATGGTTTTTCAGGGCAAAATCTCCGTCTTGCTTAACTGCTTAACTGTACTCAAATCATCTACTTAAAAGAACAAATTTCCTCAGAGAAACTGATGATTCTTCAAGAAGAATATTTCAAACAACTTTAGTGTTAGTCAGTTATGAACAAAATTCTGTCATTTTGCCAAGTTTAATTCTGGACCAACTCCAGTGAAGTGCTCAGTAGCGCTATAGCTCAGTGACCTTGGGCTCAGTGACTGGAATCCCACTTCATATTTGTCTGAATGCAAGCAGCTCTATAATCTTCAGCACACACTGGTCCTATAATTCTGCAAAATAAAATCTTTGAGGGAAATTATTATTTGATCGGAGTCTTCAAGTAACACAAGATCTCTAAACTTAAACACATCTCAGCAAATTAATATTTTCAACAATTTTTATAACAAGTAGCAGTTGGGATCTGAACAACCTCAATATTTGGCGTTTGACATTGAAATCTATCTACATCACAGTGGTATAAACACTGGAATTTATAATGGCATTCCTGATCCGGGAAGCTTTCTTCCTTATTCTTTTGATGAGTGCACCTTCACAACTGGGGGACAGGATTTTGAATTTTTTTTTGAAGTTTTTACATAAGAGGGAGCAATAGCTTCGCATTTACACCATGTTTTAACTGCTGATGGTTTCCCAGATCTGTCATTTTTGGCAGAGCAATAGAAAACATGTTGTATATTAGCCATCTGGTGAATTCTATTTGCGCATGTGGTACATTTTTGTATCTCTTCTGCAGAATTCGAGTGGGATGCCACAGGCTCATCAATCACCACATCTTTACCAATCTCATCCTTGTCTTCATCATGCTGAGCAGTGTTTCCCTAGCAGCAGAAGATCCGATCCGCAGCCACTCATTTCGAAATAATGTAAGCCTGTCAGTTTTGTATCTAGAGATAAATATATTCTCATAGAACAATAAACCTTTAGGATTAGTGCCTCGTTTTTAATTTTCAAGTGAAGAAATGCTCCTTTTCCTTTTCCAAATGAAACATTTGCAATTTTTTTGTTGTAAAAAACGTAAATCTTTCAAAGGCAAGTAGGTTTATGAATGGAGCATCGTAGGTAGTACAACTATTTTGCATTGAGGGTGGAGAAAGCTTCTCAAGTTATCATGAGTTGTGCATGCTTCTGATTAGTTATGATTGAACTGCTTTGTGGGGATTTGGATGGAACTGTCAGATCTCCCCTGTCTTACATATATGTTGATCTGCAGGCTAGCCATGGAGTTAGAGGAAAACCTCTTACTAGAAAGATGGGCCTTCTGGATCAGTAGATGTTCCTGTACTGAAGTTAATGCTTTGAAAAAGTTGATGCTTGAAAATTGAACTCATAATGTCAAAAAACAAACCACCAAACCAAACAAGCAGGGCACCAATAGGAAGGCCTTTCAAAATCAATAAAAAAAAAAAAAAAGAATAATTAAAACCCTAAACTTAGTTTCAAGGTGTTTGACAATCTAACTTGTGATTTTTAAAGGTTTGGGAATGGCCACAATGTGACAGTAGGCTAAACGCTAATCTTCTGTATCTGAGAAATTAAATCTGCTTAAGATTCCTTCTGCAGCTTTGAAACAAATCTCACTACTGCACCAGGTGTTGTGCTCACATTTGCATTGCAAAGCAGTTGCACACTGCACAAACTAGGTTCCTTTTAGATGAAGCTAAAACAAGAGTTACACTTCAGCACATAAACTCAGTGCAAAAACTTTTGATTTTTCAAACATTGAATTCCTCTTATCCTCAACTAGTGCTCTAGCTTCTGGAGGCTGAAACAGTTGTTCAACAGATGTCCTTCTACCTATAATGGGACTTGAGTTTATGTAATGAGGAGAGTAGGCACATATCAAGGAAAAATGAAAATATTGGTTCTCAATACTGTTTCTGTCTGCTGCTTTGCTCTTGTATCCCTGCATTATTGTAGGTGCCTCTGAGCTCTTCTTTGTGCTGTTGACATTCTCTGAACATTTTTTTTTCAGTACCATTCGAAAAAAACAAAATGCTAATACTTTTTCCAAGGATAAAATTAGATAAAAACAAAAAGGCACTTTCCATGGAATCTATAGAGCAACTGTGTGCCTCCCATATCTGTAAAACTGGACAAATGCAACTTTATGAATAGATCATGGTAATTAATGGATAAGAAAAACAGCTGGTGAGCCATACTGAAATTGTTACTAAAGGGCTGATATTTATTTTTGTAACTAGACCAGTGGTAGGAAGATACAGCTCCAGAGTGGTGGGAATTGAAGGGATTATTCCTCTTTGGGGCACAGGAAGATAAAATGTTTGAGTAGTTTTGAGAAAACATTGCCCTCATGTTGTAAATATTCACAAACGCACCAAAATTGACATTTTTCTTGTAATTAGCTTGAATGATGGCGTGTGTTGCCTTCAGCTGGGCAGCTTGGCAAGGGAAGGAACTCACTACTGAATGTCTGTGTAGGGAGAGTTTAGCGTTGACTTTGTGAATTGGTATTTGGAAGTCTCAAAAAGTTACTGAAAAGTGTGATTTGAAGAGTTGGCTGTTGTATTTCTACAAGAGTAGCCTCTGCTTATTCCAGTTGGCACTCAAGTTCAGTAGCATGGCTTTCTGGTGACTGTTAGTTCATGTTATCTTTTCTGCAAATATGATTGCTTCTACTCAGTCCTGTGCTTTTTATGTTGGATATTCCATGTTGGCTTGTTAATGAAGATCATGTTGTTTGTAGCTGTCCTAGCATGGTAAAATTCCATGATAAAGGACAGCACATTGGATCAAGTCACACTGCCAAACATGAGAGCTGAACATCCTGATGAATCTCAAGTTATCTGATAAAATTCATGACAGTAAAAGCATGAAAACACAAGTTTAAAAAGCAAGAATTCAAAAAAAACAAAATTCTTTACTAATTTTTGTTGAACAGCTTTCTTATCTGACTCTTTTTTTCAGCCACAGCAAGGGATGGAAGGATGGAAATGGAACATGGGAAGAAAAAATATTTCTTTTGGTTTTATAGGAATATGTCCATTGTGTTTGTCTCTTTATTTTATTTCTCTTTCTCATTTTCTTAGCTGTTGCACCACAGGAAACACGTTTCTGTGCTCACCTGTTTTCTAGGCGAACTGCTGGATCCTTGAAACTAAACTAACACAGTGCTGCAGTGTATGTCTGTGACTAAGTTGGTTGCTAGCAATTACTTCCACCTTGAAAGGGTGAAATCTCAGTTCCATTGAAATATGTATGCACTATTCCTATTGATGACTGTGAAATCAGTATTACATCTATGATATTTTTAAAAGTTTGCATGTCACTAAATTTCCAGTGTGTGTTCCAAATTTCCTGCAAATAAAGAACTGCTGTGTCTTCCAAGTAAAAATAAAGAAATAAAAAGCTGCAGTGCTGGTTTTAATTAGTTTAGTTATTCATTAATGTGCTTTCACATACTCTATCTCAGTCTATCTGGGAACAACAACATCAAAATGACTTACTAATAACAAACATACACTACTACTGAACATTTCTTGCATAAGATTATGCATCTCTGTGAAAGCCTGCAGCAGGTTCCTGTGAAAGCCAATAGGGGAAGGTCTGAAAGAACTGAAAGTCTCAGGGTCTGAGTGGTAAAATCTCACATCTAAACATGGTGGCTTGTGATAATTTTTTAAGTAAATATAAACTGTTGCACAATTGCTGGAATTTTAAACTGTATTGGCTTAATTCCGAATCTACCTGTTTCTATAAATTCAGGTGTTGTTGTACATGTGGTATAAACTGTAAAAACTTATTAATAGTTGAATTTCTTACTGTGGCACGTATTATACCTTGCAGATACTTGGTTACTTTGACTATGCTTTCACAGCCATCTTTACTGTTGAAATCCTGTTAAAGGTAATGCATTGTTATTGATCCTTGTTAGCTCAAAAGCAGCTTTAGCAATAATGTTTGTAACTTTTTGTTTACCTTCCAGATCCTAGGGTATGCAGATTATGTCTTCACTAGTATGTTTACATTTGAGATCATTTTGAAGGTAACAGGTTTTCAAAGGAAGTTTGTTTAAAAGGATTTTCCTTGTGTGTCACCTGCCAAGAAAAGGCACTTGAAGTGTTCTTCGCCTTTTCTCTAAGCGATCAAAGCTAAACTTTTTTTCAATCAGAGGAATTTTTAATTTGACAATTTCTCATAGTTTTGATTGGTTATTTTTTTACCATTGGATGCATGTAGAAGATGATATTTTTATCATTGCATCAATTTAGTAATTCATTTTTTACCCTTTTTAAACTTACAGTTGTCAGAAAAGGGAAAAATAATTCACTGCGCATGAGCTTTTCCTTCTCCCTGCTCTGGCATTTCCAAAAGAGTTGATCAGTCTTGTAAGGAGGGAGCATGTAATTTCTCATTTTTCTTGCTGAACTATACTCACAGAGCTAAAATAGATAACTATTTTCTTGCAATGGGACTTGCAAGATATCTTGCATTTATCTATCTATACACTAAGATACGTTTCATTTATCTTATCTTGGGCATACATTTAAATACACAGAAAGGCATAAATATGCTTGCTTAAATGTATTACCCATGCATGAGTTCAAAAATAGCATTTTAATGTACAGTTTGTGTACTGATTATTAAGATTATCTATTGGGGTTACTCAGAACGTACATGGAGCTTACTCTGGCAAAGAAGCTCTATAACTGAGGGTTGGATTCACATGTAGGAAACTGTTGAACAAAATAATTCTTTTCTTTTTTGAAAATTTGTGAAACATTTTTTCCAGAAACTTACGTATGGTTTTTCAAAGTTAACTCAGTGCGTATTCAGTCTGACTTTTTCTTTGAGTAACCCCGATTCATACACTGGTACACTAAAAATCTGTACATAAACTTTGCATTTCTAGTTGAGGAGTAAGCTTAACAAAATCTCTTCTCCCAGCTTTTGCTCATATTGCTGTGCATATTCTTCACTATGCAACTTGTTTAATACTAATTGATGCAATATTTGGGCTGTTTACAAGATAAGCTGTGTTGTAAATAGTAAACTATTTTTATGCTTGCAAATATTCTCAGACTTCAATTTAACCCCTTCTCATTTTCAGCAGTGAGGAGCTTGCTAAAAAATTGGTTGATTTTATAATATTTGTGTTATAAAAAAAAAAAGTCCCAATTTTTCACATCAAGAGAAAGGCCAAACTAAAGGAAAGGAAGGAACACTGAAAAGTCTTGTAGCATTCAATCAAAGCAGTTCCAAACTCTGAATTTGAGAAACCGTACTAAATATGTTAGCACCATTTGTACAACAGAAGAGATGGTAGACCAGCTACATGCTCTGAACAGCAGGTTGTATAGCTCCTGCAGTTCCAATTTGCCTCTGTACAGACAGAGGAGTTACAAAGAATGGCATATACAAACATAACTAGATGTGCTAAGAAGAGAAATATTCTCACTGACTGCAAAAGATTCTGACATTAAGTTATTCGAGGGAAGTAGGAAGCACTAGAGCATGAACTTCTGAAATCTGGCATCGTTAAGTAATAAAAGGAAACAAGAAGCCCCATTGTAGAAGAACATTTGATGCTCCTGACTGCACTAACTGCAGGAAACTCTGCCTGGCAGTGTACTCACATGTCTTTACAGAGGAAAATAAGTGGTACCATAAAAAATTTAGTGGACAGTCAGCAAATGGCACATTCATGTACAATGCCTGCTTTACTAACATGTCTCAGACACCGGCTTTGCTTGCTCCTGGCTGGAGCCCTCTACCTTTCCCCTGTTGCTTTCTGTGCTGTGCTTTTTCACACAGCAGCTGTGTGAGTTCTGTAGGATGCAAATTCAAGACTAATTCTATAGGAACAATAGCAGTTCTTAATTTCCAGCCAAAAAGTATGTGAAACCGAAACAAAGATAACTAGGAGCAATATTATCAAGTGCTAAAAAGAAGCATTAAAATAACTCACAACACATGGAGAGTTCTCCCTGTGCTCTGTTTTACTGGCTGCTCGGCAGACCTAAGGATTTACACTTTATGTGGTGTTGAGGTTATGAGGGAGGTTATGAATACCAGAAAATCTGCAATATCTGTTTAAAGCATTTAAGATTTCTCTTATGTAACCCCTACATAGCTTTCAAATCCAGCTTACTGTCCTGTTTGCAGTACTTGGGGAGTCTGAATGTGTCAAACCAAAGGCCAGGTTGGGGCTTTGTGCTTTTAACTTGCCCCAGCTGTGCTAATCCCTTCCATCTAAACTAGTCCCCACTGGTTTAGCAAGAGGAAGAGAGCAACAGGAGTGGTGCTCACTGCCTTGCATTTGCCCTAGGACTTGCTATGGTCTTGACCTGTGCAAAGGGTGGAATAATTTTGCTAGGATTTATACTGATGGAAGTCTGGGTCTCCATATAAAGACAGGATGATGAGTACTTTGCCTGCATTTTTATGTCAAAATGTCTTAACTTTTGTGAGAGTCTTTACATGAAGCACAGTTAATTGATTGCATACTAGAATGTGAATGAGTATCTGTAGATTGATGTAGGCTTTTATTCAAGGTTATTTTAGTTCTTAATTCCCACTGATTTTAATTAGTTTAGTCATACTCTGTACTACTGAAAGTGAAAGAGGTATGCATTTATTGAAAATTTTATAATATAATGTATTAGTTCTCTGCAGGTCATATTAAAGCTCTAGGATTGTTATTCTAATTTTGAGGAACATTTAGTGTATTGAACACAACTAGAGAAAGCTTCTTCCAAGCAAAAGGCATCCTTTGCAGCTAATGTGTAACTCAGTGAAGCTGAAGAATTTCTGATGCAAAAGGCCTGCAAGTACATCCACACAAGAGGTGATGCCCTGAGCCGTGAGATGCCCATCAGTGGCTCTCCTCTGCTCTGTGGAACAGTTTTGAAAGATGCAGTGGTGTGCTGCAAGAGGAGAGGAAACCTTTTCTCTCCATGGTGGTGAATAGAACAGAACAGAATGGAAAGTAATGGGTTTAAAATCCACAGATGTTTTCCTTACCTGTAGAAAGCAATAAGTAGCTGACAGTAGCTCTTTTTAAGAGGTGCTTAAGGCTGAAGAAATTACAGCCTTCAATAGTGCCTGAACTGAAAACTGGGTGTTTCTCAGAAGTATTTTAATTTGAAGTCCAGTTTCAGCATTTTCAATTGTAATCCATAATTATTTAAAACATATTTGCAAAATTCAACTCAAGTGCAGATTCTGTGCTTCTTATTGGATCAGGAGGTTTCTTCTGAGATTGTTTTAACTAGTATTCCCTCTGAGTTATACCAAGGGTCTAATTAATAAATTCAGGGGCCAAACTCAGCTTTGGGGTACCTGAAAAGATCTGCCCAGTGTCTGCAGCCGTAATTAATAGAACCTCTGTCACTGGCTCCTAGTGAGTCTTGCAGACAGTGTAAGCAGGCTCCTTCACAAGATACTTACTGTGTTCCTTTAATTGTAATCAAGGCTTAGAAAGCAAAAAATGAAGAGAAAGCCCAATAGGGAGAGCAATGTTCGATTGCTTTCCCTGCAGAAAGCAATGCTCAGGGATTGCAGTTTATGCCTAGTACATAAGAATCATAGAATCATAAAACTGTTTGAGTTGAAAGTGTCCAGCCAAGGTCAGTTAGCCCAACTGCCCTGTGATTAGTAGGGTCATCTACAGCTTTATCATTGCAGTCTATGGGCTGCTCCACTGCCCAGAGGAATCAGAATCTCCAGTACTGCAATCGTGCTGTACAAAACCTTCCAAGGTACTCACTGATGGCCTCAACCCATCTCCTGTGTGGAGGAGGCAGCAAAGTAACTGCCTGGTGGCAGCTTTGCATGGCTTCTGTACCAGATTTTACTCGTGGGATTTTGCAGTACATTTTCAGCTCCTTCAATTCTCAAAACAATAGGAACAATGAGGAGTCATAATCTGGACCTTACAATTTTGTAAGCATGGAAGGTTTATGGTTCTTGTAGTCACTTTTCTATCGAAAGCCCAGCCTCTTCAGTGAAATCCACTCAGCCTAATCAGTTACATACAAAAACAACATTTGTTGGCATCAGAAGCAATTGACACGTTTGCTCATGTTTCCTGAGCAGAATTGTTATTTAATTAAAAGTTACTAAACATATGTAGTGTTTTTTTAAATTTCACTTGTTTTTAGAAGATGATACTGTTGTATGCATTCACACTCTAGGCAGGCGTCTTGTAAACAGCCTAAATGTCAATGTGAATAGATTGAGATAGAGATTAAACATAAAACAATTCTGTTTTTAGATGACAGCTTTCGGAGCATTCCTCCATAAAGGGTCCTTCTGCAGAAATTACTTTAATTTGCTGGATTTGCTGGTTGTGGGTGTTTCTCTGGTGTCATTTGGTATTCAGTAAGTATTACAATCTGGACAATTTATTTTTTGCTCTGGGGTTCTCTACTGAAATCAGTCTTGCAGCTCCTTTTGTTCTGCCGTTTTGTGTGGGTGCAGTCAAGGCTGGGAACAGAAGGAGGTGATACTTTATATGGGGAGTTGTAATTCAATACTAATAGAGATTGGAAGCAAATCACTGCTTCCCACCATTGCCAAGAGAACGAGGAGGAACACCACAGCACTCTGTTGTGTAGCAAGGAATTCCTGGAGCTCCTGGAGGTTTATGTGCCCTCCTTTGTGTTATTGCGACATACACAGCCTAATTCTGTGAGCTTGCTCTTTCGGTATTGTCCTACTGGGATACATAACCTAACTGGATTTGAAGGGGAGAGAAGTTGTAGCTTAATCATTAAGTGGTAACGAGGGATGTTTTTTTTCCTTTGGATCAGGCAGAACATAATAACAGAGTCAGAAGGTGCTTATTGATTCTCTAAGCGAGCAGCTGTGCCTTATTTAAATCATCCGTGAATCCTTCACTGACCTAGAAATGAGCAAGGGCTGGCTGTCAGTCAGCCCCCTCCTAGTTGTGTTCTGCTTGTGTTACAATGCTTATGAAAGATTTTAGTTTTGCAGTGTGCTCTTTAATGGACTGTCTGTTGTTATCGCTGCTGAAAGCAAATGTGATTCCATTGAGATCTTTTCAAATCCAGTTGGTTGGAAATGAAGGTATTCATCGACTTGCAGGACGTGCACAAGGTTTTTGAATGAGGTGTCAGCATTTGAAAAAGAAAGTACTCTGGGGAGTAATTTGCTCCTGACCAACCTTAATTGTGTTTGTGTCAGATGAGCCTCCAAGCTGTTAATTCCCAAGTTGCTCCAGAAATCAAAATGATTCTTACAGTATTTATGTTATTCTTTTCTAATATTAACAATACATCAATGAAGGAGTGCTTCAAAAAATCTTGTATACAATGTTGTGATGCTTTTTTTGAATTTTCACCTATAAGAAGTCGTGAGAACATTGTTGTTCTTAGAAATGAAATTGATTACCTTAAAAATAACAAACTTTTATTTTTTCCCCAGATCAAGTGCTATCTCAGTTGTGAAGATCCTCAGAGTTTTGAGAGTCTTGAGGCCCCTAAGGGCTATAAACAGAGCAAAAGGACTTAAGGTTTATATTTTTAACTTTTTTAAGTTACATTTCTGTTGACCTGATTCCTCAATTCTGCTTCAGGTTGAATAGTCTAACAATAAAAATTTCCTGGAAAAGGTCACATAGATTAGTTCCTGATTCTTAAGCATGTCGGGCCAGATTCTGCCCATGGTTCCCCAGTACTTTATATGTGGAGGAAAACCAGTGCCACAGAGAGCAGAATTTGATCATGGTGCTTGTTGTGAACCAACATGTCACAGAAATGGCTCCATTGCCATTCTACAGTGCGTGTGTACATTTTAATCTATACATGTTAATGGGTCTGTCTCAACACACTTACGGACAAATTTTGGAAATGAGCTTAGCTATGATAGAAGGTAAAATACTGTCAGTGCAAAAACAGTAGCTTTAAAAGGTGATCGAAATGTGATAAAGTAAGCTTTTATTCTTGTGGTAGGTGTTCTAGGTTTAAAATATTTTTTTTTCTTTCTTTCCAGCACGTTGTTCAGTGTGTCTTTGTGGCTATTAGAACTATTGGTAATATCATGATTGTTACAACTCTGCTGCAGTTCATGTTTGCTTGTATTGGAGTGCAGCTCTTCAAGGTGAGCAGACTCAAAAGTAGTACTGCAGCAAGAATAGCAAAACTGAGTTGAATTCTTGGTGTCTTGCTGCTTGGTGGGTTGGTCTCATTTGGAAGCAGTCATAGTGTAAATGCATTTATTGTGTATATTCTCCATTTTATTACTGTGTTTTGTTTTATATGTAGGGAAAATTCTACAAGTGCACTGATGAGGCAAAACAGAATCCAGAGGAATGCCGGTGAGAGCTCTTTTAAACTAAGAAAGTGACACATATGTTGAGTCATATAAACTTACCAGATAAGGGCAGACTTGTGATAGGTGATTTAAGTTTGTATAAATTGGAATTACCATCTTGAGACCCAGAAGGAAAGTCATAAAGGCAGTCAAGACAGGTTAGCAAGGAAATAAAACAAGTTTATGATGGAGTAAAATAAATTATTTTGAATAAATAATTGTATAACTTGAGGGCTAATTAAATATTTTATTAATGGCAGTGTTTCCTTTCCTTTCCCAAAGGGGGATATACATTGTTTATAAAGATGGAGATGTTGATAATCCAATGGTCAAAGAGAGGGTCTGGCAAAATAGCGATTTCAACTTCGACAATGTTCTGTCTGCTATGATGGCCCTTTTCACCGTGTCCACTTTTGAAGGCTGGCCTGCGTGAGTGAATGCTTCATAACATTAATATTAAGACATGTTTTCCAGAAAAATTCTCTATCATTTACTAAGTGTTTTGGGGCAACAAAACAGTCTTATGCAATGGTGTAGAAATGTATTAGTAAAGGAAGGAAATAAACCTACTATCCTTCTGAATCTGTGCATTTTTTTCTGGTATTTCTTCATTCACTCCTGTCAGTAATGGGAAAAGTTCTCGTTTTCACATTCCTATATTTATAAGAAATAAATGAGGGTGGATTTTTAAGTACAACTTAAATTTTGGGAAATTTCCTTTACAAGGAACTCAAAATATGTAGTGCAAAGTAATTATATACCATTAATTGCAATTCTCCATCTCTGTAGTCTGTAGGTGGGTAATGTTGCATTCAGGAATTCCGCAAAATGGGATTTCAGTCTTTATTTTGTGTTTCCAGTGTGGTTCAGGGTATGGAATATACCACTGTTGAGAACACATTGGTACTACTTGGCTTCTTTCTGTCTCTGAAATCAATTTAAAGTGACAAACACAGTATAGGATAACTTGAAAGTACTGTATGATCTCAGAATATATTATTTTTGTGTGTGCTTGTTCAAATCAGTGAAATCTTGTACGTTTATATTGATTGCTTCCTAATCTTTCAGTTACTTTTGCTACAGCAAGCTACTCTTTTAGCACTAGAGTAACAATTCTCTTTGATCTTTATACATTAAGGCTAATAATACTAATATTAAAATTTTAGAACTTTGAGTAAAACTTCTACTATAGATCTAAGCAACTATACACAGTGTAGAAAAACCTGAGAAGAACAAGCTGCCTTTGGCAATGTGCCTAAGTACGTGAAGTCTTACAGGACAGCTGTATGTGAAAAGTACAATAATACAACCACTTGGTCATTGTCTTGATTGTCCTGAACAAAGAAAATAACATTATTTCTGCTATTTTGGTTACGCTTGTAAGTACTATTTATTCAGAGTGAATTTGATAATAAATAGTAAGGTATTTCTGAAATCTGTCCTATGAGTTTGCATATTTTACTGTCTTTTGCCATTTTAATGCTAATGAAGATTTTTTTCCCCCCCACCAGGCTGCTGTACAAAGCCATTGATTCCAATGGCGAGAATGTAGGACCTGTATACAACTACAGAGTGGAGATCTCCATTTTTTTCATCATCTACATCATCATTATTGCTTTCTTTATGATGAACATATTTGTTGGTTTTGTCATTGTTACATTCCAAGAACAGGGGGAACAAGAATACAAGAACTGTGAGCTGGACAAAAATCAGGTTAAAATACGTAATGAACTCTTAATTTTTGAAAGTATCCTTTTTTTTCATTTATTCACCAATAACTTCCTTTCTGCTTTAGGCCAGAGGGGGGCATCAAACACATCTCTTAGTAATAAAATAATTTTTAAAAGTAGCTTGAGTAAATTAGCATCAATTGGTACTCAAATCACTCTGTGGTACTCAAGTCACTCTGTGGTACTCAAGTCACTCTGTATTCCTCTTCCTGTAAGCCAAAAGTCTCAGTCTCTTTGTTGTGGAGGTTGCTATGTAATGGTTGCTAGTGTCTTAGTGTCTCGCTTCTTGGTGTCACGTTAAGAGGAATACAAGCATTTAACAATTTATCCATAGGCAGAAGTAGATTTTGCAGTAACAACAGATAGTAAAAGTTGTGTTCTGAATAGACTGAAAATATTCGAAGTGTTCAAAATATTCTACTCTACTTTTTTCCTTTATTTAAAAAAAGTAAATAAAGCACATGTGATGCTCATATTCCCCTTTTGTTATTTAATCTTTTCACTCAGAAATTTGCCAGTGATCATTCATGGTTTTTTGGCTACCCTTGTTCCACTGCAGCACTCTTCATCCAGCGTAGTTAAGCATGAAACTCTGGGGAGCATTCGTAATGCATTTTGTGCCCCAACAGCCAGCTTTTATAGGCATTCTTTAAAAGACAAGGAGAAGGCCCAACTTATATGGAGATTTAGGTGCTAAGACCTGGAGGTGAATCCATGGTGTTTCCGCCTATCAGTTTTTCTCAACTAATAGGAATAACACCCACTGGTGTTTATTTTGCAGACAGTAGAATTTTATGCTATGCAGTTACAATAATGATTAAAAACTTAGTAAAGACTATGTACAACTTAAAGGCTAATTAAAAGTCAGCATTATTGTTGGATGAGAATCTTTAAAAATGAATTCTGCATAGTATGTTAATATTATGATGGTTGGGTAACAATATGATGATATGTGTATCAGTACACTTAATACTATAAACAATACATATATGTATACACACATGTGGTCTGTGGTATACTAGTATGCTGTGTGAAAGTGAAATGCTTTAGAATTTTCATCTTTGATTCTTTGCATGTAGCTGAGTAGTGTATGTACCTAGGTACAGTTGTAAATAACCAAGTGAGCGTTGGTAAGCTACTTGATTAATTTATAAGTACTTAAAAATGTATGTAAAATAGATACACTGCTTCTTTCTGCTTTTAACAGTTTGCACTCATCACTAATTATGTTCTCATTTGTTTGACTTGGCTATAATCTGACAATTTTTGATGTATTTGCTTTTGCAGCGTCAGTGTGTGGAATATGCCTTGAAGGCACGTCCTCTTCGTAGATACATTCCAAAAAATCCTTACCAGTACAAGTTCTGGTATGTGGTGAATTCTACTGGATTTGAATACATCATGTTTGTCCTCATCATGCTGAACACACTTTGCCTGGCTATGCAGGTAGGAAAAGCAGAAGCTCTTTTGAAGCCACTGATATGAATTGGAAAGAAGGGTGTAGAAGATGCGCTGCCTTTCGTTTATAGCAATTGTTTGTTGATTAAAAAAGAATCATAGTACTCTTCTGTGATGTGTGCTGATCTGTGCATCAGTTCTCTGAAACTAAGTGGTTTGAAAGAGCTTGATATTTGTGGTGGTCTTCCTAACCCAATGGAACTCATTGATCTATACTTGGTACTTGTAACTTCATGAAATTCATAAAGGTGTATTCCCAAGACAGTCCATGTGCAGGAAAATCTGAAAAGAATAGCCTATTTTTGTTAGCAAACATTTCTCTAATCCTCTTAGATTCTTTTATCTAATATATTCCTGTATACGATGTCTTTAAGCAATGCTTCTCAACTTTATAATTCCTGTACTTATTGTCTTTGTTTCATATATGTACGACTCTATATTTCCACCACCTATGTCTGTATATTTTCAGAAGCTTTAAACTTATATGGAGGAAGTCTAAAATTGTATAATATTGCAAACATGTTTTCATGTATTTGCTGTATATCTGTACATATATGGTGTATTTCTTTGTATTTTTGCACAGGTGTTTTTTTTTGTCAGTATATGTTTACTTTTTCTTCTCTTCCTGCACTATTATATCCACTGCTTTTCATTAGTTGATACACTTATCTACTTTTCCAAGTTGTTCTAATTTGTTTCTTTCTTTCCCTTGGTACTTTAGAGTTTGATAAGAAAAATAATCTTTCAAATCCAATTTATATACCCATCCTACTTACTTTTTGTTGTAGAGTTGCCTGGGTGCTGTATGCTTTTAAAAATATGATACAATATATTTTGCTGTGACTAACATACTACAGGCTTTCTAAGCAGGTGTGACATGAGATTATGTTATTTAAAAACAACCTTCTAAGATTCAAAAAAAATTGCTTTTGTCTAATATTCCCTTTTTTGTGGGAGCAGTATTCTCCTCAAATCTTTCTCTGAAGGTCACCAGATGTAGAAGAATGCCAGATTTGTTCCACTCATTGCCTGCATGGAATAGATGAAATCCATTTTTGGAGAGATATTCAGCTATTCTCATATGATATAGTTGTGCGTCACAAACACTACCAGGAAATATTTTCTTCTGCTGCAGTGTTGCCAGCTTTTATTATGTTGCCTTACTTTCACTTAGTATTTTAAAACTTTTACGTTTAAATGTGTCATATTTTTCCTCCACAGCACTATGGACAGTCTAAGCTCTTTAATGATGCAATGGACATTATGAATATGGTTTTCACGGGAGTGTTCACTGTTGAAATGGTTTTGAAGCTGATCGCATTCAAACCCAAGGTAAGTTTTATACATGCTTTAATTAGGGCATCACCACAAGAATTAAGTGTAATGCAAGTTTCACACTAGCTTTGTAATTTTCAAGTAACAAAAAGAACCTGTATGTTTCCCACAGTTATCAATCAGTTAAATCATAATAGAAATGTTAATCTAATAATACGTGCATACATAAATCTAGGAAATGAAATACAGATATCTGTATACAGAGCAAACATTACAAGGTGATTGATGACATCTGAAACATTCTGAGGTAACAAAACTATTATTTTCTAAATTAGACAAATCATTTCAAGTAACAAGCATTACCACTTCTCCTAATTCCTGGTACCACATTCATAACCTTCAACAAAGTTGACCTCCATTAAAGATTTCTATGTTATATTTCTTTTTCAAAATGCAAAATTGTTCCTGTAGTTTTTAAAATATAGCCATGGACTACAAGCATAACAAAAATAATTTGAGTATTCAGTAGCCTTTTAAGGTTTTAATGTTTTCAGTTATGTATACACACCATTTGGTAGAGGGTCCTACAGGAGGCATCTGAGATTCCTTGCTTTAAAGGGACACTGTCAAAATGAATAATGTAGACATATTGTTGAAAGTAGATTCACAAGACATACTGATAACTGTTATTAATTTTTAAGAGAAGATGAAAATTGAATTGTGGTAGTTCATGCAGTCTTATTTGTTCTGTTCTCATACCCTATTTATGGCAGTGCAAAAGACAAACTAAACTAAATTTTGTTTTCAGTACAGTGAAATCAGTATTTTTGGGAGGCTTCTGCCTCCGCATATAAGTGAAGTAGTATGGTCACTCACTAGATGTGAAATTTGAAAACAAACACTTGAGGTTCCTGATCTCAGCATCTGAGGCTATATATATTTTTTTTCATCTTGCACTGCCCTTCTTTTAAAGTAATCAGAATATTTGAATCTGTAAATTGAATGCAGACTGTGCACTTCCTTTGATTTAAGTAGTGTACTGAATGACTCCAGTCTGTGAGGACAATCTTATCTGTGCTTATTTAGCTCTGACACTTACAGCAACATAGCCATGGCAGCCGAGATTCTAGTGTGCAATAGATGCATAACTCCTTTCCAGCACTTCAGGAGTGTTTATTCAGCATCATTTGGCCATGAGCTGTATGGTGTCACCCAAGTTACTTGATTTATGGTTAGCTTATCTTTGCCTGCATAGAAGTAAACAAATCATACATCACTTGAGGTCTGGTTGAGATATGGAGTGTGGAGTTCTGGGTGAGTTTACTCACTCTCTCATAGTCATTCTCTGCACTGTCTAGACTGTTACACATTTCTAGTGAATTTATATGTATTTTTTTGTCATCTGTGTTATTTAAACACCGAGGATATCACAGTAAAACTAACACGATCTGAAGCCCTAGAGGGATAGTTACGTGGCTCACAGAGTATGCTGATTGCATTTCCTGGTTTGTATTTCCTGTTGTATATCACTGTTTCACACTGGCATTTCAGAAGACTTTGCTGCGTTTTGTCATCTGCTCTTAGAACGAAGATTGTGAATCCTTGTGTGGTTCCTCGTGAACCTGTGCCTCTAGTCAGAAATAGCAGCTAATGCCAAATCAATTGGTCTGATCATGGGTGTATAAATCACAGTTCTTCATCTGTATTACGAACTTCCCACTCATTATTGAATGCGGTGTCTTAACAGTGGTCTCTAAAATTCGGTACAGTTTGGATTCTAACTGTTGCAATGTGCTTTCTGTCTGATTGGATGCTTTTACTGTAACAGCTCCCTGGATCTGAAAACTGAGAGTTTGAAGGGAAGACATTTATTTCCTGAATTTCATTCCCTCATAGAAGACCTTAAATTTGTTAATTAGCAGGATGAGGTTAAAAATCCATGAAATTAATCACTTTTCAGAGACTAATTAGCACAGAAGGAAGGAGATGACATATTTTTAAGGTTGTTCCTGATATTTTTCTTTTAAGATTGTGACTTTTAAAATCAAATGATTTATACCTAAACACTGACTGGCAACATCTACCTCACAGTTCATTAATAACTTAAAATGAGTTAGCAGTCTTAAAAAGAATCTAAACTTTAATCTAGATACATACTTTAAACAACAATGAATTGTTTTAACTAATGTTAAAATGTTTTAATGGTCAGAACGATCTGAAACCAAGCCTATAATTTTCCTTTAGGATTTTTGGGAAAAAACTGGTTCACTTCCTCTGCGTTCACATCACCATTGGGTTCCTTTGTCTACTCTGACAGAGTGGACAACATTATTTACAACTTTGATGCACTGTAGAAATAATTTCAAAGTTGCTCCATTACTCAGTGTGTAAATATAAGAAAGATGAGAACATGTTAGTTATTATCTAATCTGCTTGACAGTGTCCCCTTAATAACACTGACAAAAATCCTGTAAAAAGTGTAAGCTTTGCTTTTGCTGTTCATGCAAACTTAGTGCAATTATAAATAATTGATGCTCCTACTGTGGTAATTGTGTTGTGTAAAACCGAGGTACTGCAGACTGCCTTCTGGCTCTGAAATATATGAAATTTGGATAAATAATAGATGGTAAAGGTGATGCTGAGTGTCTGGCACACTTGCTGACTGGGAAATTGGAACACGGAGAACTTTACAGAAAGAGTCCCTGAACTTCTTAAAAGAGTGCTGTAATGACTAAAATATTTATGTAGTTGCTCAACAGAAACCTGTTTTTTGTATTAATTCTCTATGCCTACGTATTCCCTAGAATTTGTCACTTATCCTTCAGCATTTCTCAATGAATACTTTTTCAAAGTGTAAGGTAAACGAGCAGGCATATTTTTCTTCATGTTGTTCTCCACGTATGCTAGAATCTGGTCAGTACATTGTGAAACAAAATATGTCAATGAAATCTAAAACAATGCATCAACACACACTGTATGTATAGCTTCATGATAGCCAACCGTTACTTAAATTTGTAATGATTTTCATTTTACATCAGATTTTTGTAAGAAAAAAGGAAAGATGGCTAGTAAGTGAACTGATTTTGGGTTATTGCAGTGGTGAAAACAACTTATTTGCATGATGTTTATTTGCTGTGACTTGTCCATTCCTCCCTTTTCCAAAACCATCTTTATTTTCTCTTAGTTTTTTGTTTGTATGCTTTTGCTTTACATATTACTTTGAACAATATTTGTCTATACTGATGGAAAAGGTTTCATAAAATAAATGTTTAAAGTATTTTAGCTGTATTGAATAAAAAATGTGAATTTGTTATTTAAGTGCTTTATATTGTAGCGTGTCCAGTAAAGTCACTTTTTCAATAGTTGAAGGACCTTTTTTGGTTGCTGGTGTTGTAGAGGAAGATGGATAGCACACCTCGGGATTGCACTGATGATTGTTTGGCTATTTACCAGTAGTTTCTTACATAAATAGTTACATGAATAACAAGTATGATATGTCTTTTAAATGAGATAAGTAAGGAATACAAATGAGCAGGAAAAATACCATGAGAGAACAGCTTCCATTCTTTCCTTCATTAGCTGGTCTCTCCTAATCTCTTCAGGATTATAAATCGGTATTGTTGAGGTGGTTTGAACGTGAACTTTAAGAGGACTTTAGGAATGATTTTGGTGGAGTGAAATGGCGAAGGAGGAGTGGTAGGGGGTTGTAGAGGAACTCTCCAAAGTGGATGTGTTTATTCAGAAGGCATAATCCATGAAGATGGGTTTTTTTGCCTCAAGACTGGAATTTATTATTGAAGTCAGAGAGGGAAGGCACGTGGTGCAAAGGGTTGCAGTGATATTCCTCTTACTTTCCTTAAATAAGGGAATAATTATAGCAATTCTCTTTATAAAGAGCTAAAATTTCAAATAGAGTAGTATTAACAAGTACAGTAGTAGAGGGTAGCATTAGGAACATAAGATTAGTGCTTGCTCTCATCAAATACTCTGTAGAGCTGTCTTTTTCTGCAGCAGCTCTTTTATAATCTCCAAGAGCAGATCTTCACATTAGATTTTTTGAATCATTATGCAGTCAGGTGTAACTTTTAATCTTAATACTTGCTAGAAATTCTGACAGTTTAAAATGTTGAAAAGATTAAAAATCCACCTAACTTTGTTTTTCTGTGCTAAAGCCATGTAACAAGTAACTACTCAACTAAAACATTATTTTATAGTAAGTAATGCAGTAAAAAATGAAACTAGACATCAGGTAAGGTCACCATACTTATTTTCAACTTCTTCCTAAATCAATTATGTAGCACTGCAATGGCAATTAAGTTACTATTTTTAAATGAATTATCTGGAAAGCAGAATGCACATGTACCATGTGTACATTGCAGCCTTTGCAATATCAAGCCTTAGCCATTGTGGGCTTATAAATCACTATCAGAATGAGAAGAAAAGGCGATTTTGGTAACATTTGCAATTTGGAATTTCTGTTATAATTATGGAAAACTCATCTGAAACCTACATATCTTGTATCCATAGAATTACTTTCAACACTGTATGTCAACGGTTTATGGGCTGGTCCGGCCCAGTTCCGTGACCAGCAGGGCGGAAGGATCTGCGGATCCGCGCCTCTGGGAAAGGGGAAGCAGGGGACCCCAAAATACTTGAAAACAACAGCACTGATCTGAGGTGGAACAAATGATTTTACTAAATATAGTATTAGTAAAATACAATGAGAGAGAGAGAGAGAGTCTGTTTGAATTGTATAGACCTCACCACAATGCTGGGGTGAGAAGTGCAGTCCAGTTGAGTGACTGAAGTACAGACGGCGAAGTGCAGATGGCGAAGCGCAGACAGCGAAGAGCAGGCGAAGAAGGATCAGGTGACCTTGCTTGGAGTTCTATCCCCTTGCTGACCGCAAAGTCTCCTGGGGAAATGTAGTTCTTCTCTGACGGACGAACATTCGGCAGATATCAAACCCCACCCCCAATGCATTACATGATGTTATGGTGTGGAATACTGATGACCAAAAATCATAAAACCATGACACTGTAATGCATCTCGTTCCCAGTGACAGATTAATCCTGAAACCCAGGTCAAGGTTTCTTCTTAAATACCGTTTTGCTCAAACATGGAGTTTTGATTCCAGTAAATTGGAGTTCATATTGGTTGATAGTGTTTTGCAGCAGTGAGCTACTAACATATACATAGAAGAATATATTTCAAGGCATAAAATGTCAGAAGAGTGACTAAGTGATTAATGACAGTGAATTTGTAACAACCTGTCCAACTTGTTAGGGTTCCTCTATAAAAACTTATTTATGAATAGAAAATTTAGTTATGCAGTATGTATGCACAGTTTTACTTGAAGGATGATTATGCATTAATAACCAGGGATGACACTTAAAATATTTTCTACTGGTTGCTTAGATAGGGCTATCACAAAGTCATTATTGCTAGGGAGTTCTCAATGGGCTTGGTCCTGTAGAAATCTTATTAAAGGTGTACTGTCATGTATTTTAGTTTATATATATTAGGCTTCTTCAGCCTTGCTGTTGAATCCCAAATGAGATTTGGTTGATGGCTTGCTTGCCAAAGTTGTGCTTATACGACGGTGTGTTATGCATGTGTAGCGCGTGTGTGTGTGTCTGTACATGTATATATATTAAAAATGTGTTTGTATATATATATATATATATATATATACACACCCACACACGTGCACATGTGTTGCTTTTCCTTCAGTAGGCAATATTGTTTGTTTTGTTTTGTTTTCTCATTAGACCACGGGTTTTGTTTAACTGATTTCTGTTTATGCAAAACTAAACAGAAGTATGCAAATATTTGACATTTCATGTGTAATCACAAACGTTTGCACCCTGCCTGCTCTGTTCAGGGCTATTTTAGTGATGCCTGGAATACGTTTGACTCCCTCATCGTTATTGGCAGCATAGTAGACGTCGTTCTCAGTGAAGCTGATGTGAGTATACCCCAGCTTACTTTCCCCGGTCCCTACTTCTCTTTCTCTGTCTCCCCACTATTTCCATCATCTGGACAAGTCACAGATTTTGATCTGATGTTTCTAAAGTTTGAATACAGACCAGTTATAGGTCAATTATGTTGATATGGGAAATAAATAGCCTTTTTTTTCTACCAATTTTTTTTAGCTAAGAAAAGGGAAAGATTGTATAGTGGTACATCAGAGAAGCCTAGAGTGTTTCTGTGTTATAACACTGTCCTTTTCTTCTCTTTTTCTGTTTGTGTTTTTCTCTTGCTCTCTTTCTGCTGAATGCTTGTCCTAACAGCACTATTTCACTGATGCATGGAACACTTTTGATGCCTTAATTGTTGTTGGTAGCGTCGTTGATATTGCTATAACAGAAGTTAATGTAAGTAGCAACTGTTCATGCACTAAAAAGTAATTGCTGTCCTCAAGAAATACAGGAAATGTGACTTTTATACCCCCAAATCCTTTTTCACAAAAATATGTTTTATCCTGGAATTGAAGACCAAAATATTGGCAAACATGTTTATACAAGCTGTTATTGTAGAACTATAAGGCTGTACAACTGAACATGCACGCAGTATAATGAGGCGTAGAGTGATGTTTTCCCATATATGTTCAGAAAATATTTTAAAACATTTTATTTATAGAAAAGCAATTAAGCCTTTACTGCTATTTCATTTGAAGCCAGTAGTTTTCTTGTGTAGTTTGACTGAGATAATTCAAGCATCTATACGTTGCTTTAATGTCTCAGTTTAACAAGTAACCATTTATTCCATGTGAGGTTTGGCCTTGTAAAGTGATTTTATCATTTGTATCTTAAGAGGTAGTGGAAAAAAAGTAAAAAGAGTAGGTAAAGACTTCCAAGACATGGAAAATAAAGGGTTTTTTGATTTTTTTTTTTTTTTTTTTTTTCCAATACTACAGCAAATGCTTTGAAATCCAAATTACTTCTAAGATACTTTGAAAACTCTCTCTTTTTAACAGAGTTTTGATTAAAGGCCATTGTAAGTATAGGTATTTTAACAGAAATATAGGGAAATGTTGATTTTTGCCTACTTTCTGTATGAGTTGCTGATTTTAACAAGGAAAGCTGTAAAAAAGAAAAAAGATATTTGAAACATTAAAAAAAAAACAAAAACCACTAAGCTGTTCTGGAGCAATGGTCTCCATATTTACACGTTTCTGTAGTTGAGTTTTCAGAGGAAAGTGCCTCTTCTTTCTAGCACTTGTTATGAACTCACATAGGGAGACCATAGATGGTGAGACTTGGATCCAACTCAGCAGCTGAAAATACTTACTGAGCACACACTCATCAGGTGCAGTTAATGTAGTCCATGTGCTGCAGATCCTCTCTGCTCCTCATTCTCAGAATGAAATTATCCTCAAATGCCCATGAGGGTGCAGCATTCACTTATTCCCGTGTGTCAAAGAACAGATTGATCAGAGAAAGGCATAAATTTAAATAGTTTCTTGATATTAATCAAAGATTGCGTATTTCTCTACATCAGCCTCAGTTTATGAGCTGGCTCATAAGTTTCCTTTCCTCTTAACATAGGTTTAGTAACCTACATGCTAGAGATTTTTTTATTTTTCAGTGGGGACATTAAATTAAATAAGAAGTATGTAAAATCTTTCAAAAAACTTTGAAGTTTCTATTAATGCTCTTAAGTGAATATCTCTAATAACTTGCACATAATATAATTTCCAATATAACATAATTAGCAATATCTCTATCTAATATTGTAGAGAAGAAGGGCAGAAAAATTTTGATATACTCACAGCCTCAGTGGGGGCCATTGTCCAGTAGGTATTAAGCCCTATGTATTGAGTATTCTGAACAAATTTTTTAAAATACTCTAACATTAATCAACAGCATTATACAACTATAAAACACAAGTTTTAATTTAGCTGATAAGTATTCAAAGAGGAAATATGTGCCATGTGTATTTTTTTTTTTTGTATCTGTGGACTGAAGGAACCTGTGCTGTCAGTGAGAGTCCAATAGCACAGAATGGTGTTGTCCCAGAGACATTTCTAAGTAGAATTGCAGCTCATGGCTCAGATTTTTAAAAGCTGACTTGGATTTATTTTTTCCAGAAACGTTTGAATTTAGACTTTGAGCTGAAGTAATTGCATATGGCCTGCTATCTCAATTCATAGTACTACTGACATAAATATAATATGTGGGACATAAAAATGCTATTAATTTAGAGTAGCTTTCCCTAACAGCTGCAAAATGTACTTAACTGTGCAGCCACTGAAAAATAGTTTGTGTGTACTTTTGCAATCAGAGGTGATGCCCCTGTGTTTAGCCCTGTGTTTGACACTGCATGGACAGTGTTAATTTGGCAGCATTGCTTATAACTAATCACTGCTGAGCTCTCAGTGGAGATCGCGTATTGATCTTCAGCTACAGCACACACTACAGCAAGAACTGGCAGTGCATTTCTTAGTTTTTCATGCTGTGCTTAGTAAAGAAAAGGCTCATCTTTCATGTCTCCCAGTACTGCTCAGCAGGCTATTTGTGTACTAAGTGTTGTCTGTTTCTGGTCTTTCACTTTTTTGTGCTTTGTTTGTGCAACTGATGAATGTATTTCAATTTCGATATATTTCTGGGCTTGATTTCCCATTTTCAACATGAGTGCAGCGGACATTTTGAAAGTTTTTATGACTTTATTGTTTTTATTCTATTCATTTTTTCCTACTTCATTAGTTTTGGGTAAATCTGTATAATCCAAATTCAGTATTTTAGAATGATTTTCTGAATATTTTCTTCGGAAATGAACCATCCTACCCACTAACAGTGATCCTGGGAAATCCACAGCTCTGCTAGGATGTGCACAGGACTTTGTTTTCAATGATAGTGCAAGTACTGATGGAATGGCACCTATGACTATTCCAAGTATAGACAATACTTTGAGGGAGCTCAGCCTTGTTTGAGTGAGTGGTCTGCTCGTGCTGACTGCTAGCACTGATGTAAAAACAGATTGCACTGCAGTTGCAATTGGATGAGTGCAACCCTCTTAGTTGATCAGTGTAAATGAGGAGTTGAAAGTACCTAAAGTATAGAAAGACTCAAGATGGATTAAATATTCTTTTAGGGATGAATATATAATTTTGTCATGTGGTGGAATCAAATTGACCTTGTTCCAATATTTTGGCTGTGTACATTTAGACTAATTCCAAAGGCCAGCAATTTTTAATATGTTTATATCTAACCTGAGGTTTTCAAGTCAGTGGGTAGAACTTCTGTATATTACCTTGATTTTGGTATTCAATTTTGGAAATTAAATGTCTCCGCCTTGTTTTGTTGTTCCTATTTTTTATTTTTTTTTAAGTATATGATGCCTTGAGGCTGATTCTTCTGATCCAGTCCCATTCAAACACTAACCAGGAAATTACTGAGCTTTGAATATTCTCAGTGCCCATGAAAATCAGTGTATTTAACATGTTCAGCAATTTACAGGATTACTCAGCATCCTCAAGGTCTGGATCAGTGACCAGTTCCAAAAAGGAACCACCTCAGAGCAACATATATTTTGGCTACATTTATTTTCTATGATTTTTCTTTTGACTCTGTCATTTAATATCTCTTTGTTTAAACAGTTCTTTTTTGACCCTAATTGGTTTTCATGTTCATTTTATTTTTAGAAATTTTTAGAGGCAAGTATATTTAAGTAAACGTGTATATATGGCATAGCAATACAAAATTTAAAAACACTACTAAAACCTATGTAATTACTTTGGCTTTTTTGTAACCTATTGTTTTTAAAAGTTTCATGTGACACACGTGATCTTGTGTGGTCATAAAAATGGTTCCCTTCAAATTAGAAACAAAAAAGAAAAAGTGGTGGTTGTGACACACAGTAAGTGGCCAGTCCTCTCTTGGAGTTGAAGATACTCAAGAACATGAGAGAGAAATGGAAGTAAATTTGGAATTAATTATGAAGTTCTTTACTGAAATTCAGTCGTGTTTCAACCAGACCAGATTGTGATAAAATTATCTGCAGCTCATATTTGGTAATTCAGAAACCATTTGGATGACCAGTACTGGATGACTTACAGGCATGATCACATTGAAATAAAGTAGTAAATACAGAGGTTTTAATTCACATTTTTAAAATTTTCTTTTCCTTTACCATTCATGTGCTGCCAAAATGTCATGAAAGGAGCAGGGAGTTCACTTTACCATTCATCTGTGCAACCAATTGGGGAATAATATTATGCATGAATAAAATTCAGGTTCTTTGCTCAACGTGAGAGCACTGCTATCTTCTTCCTGATCCCCTCAGGAAAATCTATTCGTTTTGAGCTCAGCCTTGTAAACATGTGAGACTCATTCAGTGCTTACTCTACAGTTAACAGCTAACAGTGGTTAATAGCAATATGATCAAAAAGTCTGTCACAAAACTTGAATTGGATATTTTGTCATTTGGCAGGAAGGAACCAACCTGTTATCATCATTTTAGCACTGTGCAGTGCATAGCACTTGCATTGTGGTTGCAAGGCTTGCAGATGATGGGTCACTTTGTTAGGCTGCTAGTAGAGCTGAGATGGCTGGTGCTTACTCCTTCATAATTTATATCCACTTCCCTAAGACGTTTTGGAATCCAAGTTTGAACAAAAGCACTGCAGCTCAGTTTGAATCCCACTTTATCCATCAGTATCATACTTTAGATCTTGTGCTTTGCTGTTAATTAATAAGTAATTTATATTTGTTTAATACAGTGGAAATATTTTTTGGGTTTTTGTAAATAAATCTCTTTAAACCTAAGGGGTTTGCTTTAATTAGCATCAAGTGATGTGTAACCTACACAGTATTTAATTTGGAAGTAGAAGTAAATTTCGAAGCTGCTTCCATAAAGATGTATTAATACTGATAATTTAAATACTGTGCCATGGGATATTTATTAGACAGCCATGAGAATAATATCCTATGTCAGCAATGGATGTTAGTTATGAATTTAGTATCTTTAACAAAGGATGACGCATACTTTTTAATCTACTTCGAGTCACGTTGATTCCAAATTTTTACTGATGTGTATGAGCATTTGATTCAACAGGGAATTTACCAAGCACTAAGGCTGTGAAGAAAATTACTTAATAGCAAATTTGATTCCCAGTAATGACTGTCTGAATGGATCCTGTTTATACACATGTGCACACATATTTTACATGTTTCTAAAGATATTTTGGCAACCTGAATGCTTTCCTGTGTATGTTGATGTCAACACACATATTTGTCATTTGGATGTTTCCTGCAGTAGTTGCAATCATGATTGCATCATCAATATGTGTAAATTTGTTTAGCATACTCGAGTACACTTTTGCACAATAAGGAACAAGAGGCATTTGATCAAAATTGTGTACTAATATTCACTGTTTTGCACCTTGTTTATTTTTTTTTTCTTAAACACAGAACTACGGTTTGCTTCCAATGCATGACGCAATCAGTTTCACATCAGTCGCAGATTTTACACTGAGGCTTTTCCAAGGCTAGGATGGTTATATGGAAATATAGTTGCAATATGAAGAGTAGAAAGATGAGTTACTTTTTAGGAAATGTGCCAGATTTTTAATAAGCAGCAGTAAATGTGAGGTTAGCAGGCTGCAAACATTTTCATCTTTTGGTTTATCACTGGTCAGTCTTTTTTGAGGGTGAGCATTATCTGGAGGAGAAAAATGCTGAATTGAGCTCCAACTAAGATATATGTGTGTATGTGTATATATGCATACACGTGACTGATTAATGGCCTATTTGAAGTATTTAAGAATCGACGTAAAAGCACATAAAGATGAGGTGCTTTGCTGAAGTAGTCTCGGTGCAGCTGGCACATGGCTGACAGCATAGACAATAATTATGCTAGTCTCTGTTCTCTCTGTTCAGTTCTAATACTTCTACATAAAAATAATGTGCCACCTACTTGTGTGTGTACGTGTCAAGTAATATTACTGAAATTGTGAATAGGATTGTGTGTTTAGGTTTGTCTTTTCCTCATCTGTAGGAAGCAGACAGTCCTTGTTGTCAATGTGTCTATTACTGCAAATTGTGTTAATTTTAGTTTCCGAGATCTTAGTGTAATTGATGCCAAATACACACACCCAAATGTTAACTCTCAGATGAACATTTCCTTTATAAATAAATACAAATACTGTTTTCTTTCTGCTCTATCACTTTATTTAATCAGTTGAACTTTTTATTATGAGCCAAGCTGCTGTAATATCAGAGGGAAATCCCAGAGGGGATAAGAAATCAGATGCACTCACTTTAAAATGTCAATACCCAGGACGCTTGGCCAGTAATGGGCAGAAGTTGAATGTTCTCATCTCCAGTAAAAGAAATTCCTCAGGGACCAGGAGTATGTTTTTATTCTTGGTTTCCTACATCTATCCCTGTTCCAGCATTTTTGCACAATTTACCTTTTGTTGAAAAAGGTTTTTCCTGGCCTGCTCTTACCACTTGTGTATGACATCTGACCAGTGGCCAACAGCAGCGGGTCAGCCATTGCTTCAGGCTGTCAGGAATGCATAGGCCAAAGAAGCAGAGGAATAGGAATAGAAATGTACACAGGTATATTCAATTCCCTTCTGTCAACAACAACAAAATAAATAAAGGACTGTTAAATTTGTCGTTCCTGAGTACCTTTGGTAACACAGTTTTCATACAGTTTTGGTAATGCGATCTTTGTCTGCATTTTAAAAACTGGTTATTAAGTACATATAAAATGAGTAATACACAGAAAAAGTTTTTTTTTTTAAACAGATTCTTTCTTTTGTGAATTTATTTCAAAACAAAATCAAGAGATCTTAACAATGATCTTCAGTGGTTTTTTTTTTTTTTTTTTTTTTTTTTTTTTTAAGAAACTACATAAAGTCTGCAGGATTAATGTCTTCTTATCATGTTGTTATATATCTCATTATACATGGCAATACTTCTCCTAATTTATTTGGAGCCCAATTCTTCTTATATAAAAGCTGGTTGGAAATGCACCCAAATGCAAAATCCAGCGTTTTATTTCATTATTTTAGTGTAAGCTTCTGAAGGTACAATAATTTAATCTGCTTTTTTTTCTGTGAAACACTTTATTTAATTTTTGATAACACAAAATAATGCATGCAAATTAATCTGATTGCCAATAAAGGCTGTATACCTCAGCACGAGTCAGCCACCAGCGGTTAAGATGAAATGTCAGGTCTCAGGTGCATGAAATGTCAGGTGCAGAAGTTACAATGAAACCCTTTTTCTTTAAAAGTTTGAGATGATAAATTATTTCTGCACCAGAAGTCAGTAGCAATGTGTACCCTAGTACAGGTTTGTGATTGGTATAGGTAGACAGCTTTGTAAGATTGTTTAAGCATTCTGTGATGTTTTGGCATTTGTGATGTTTGTGATTATTACTCATGAATTTCAATTTTGATGATTTTATTTAAAATTGCTGAAATATGCAGGGAATTTCTAATGCAGCAACTCTTTCATTGTTAGCATTTTGTCGCTGCTTATAGAAAGGCTTACAAAGCTTAGAGGTGATCACTGATTTTACAAATTCTCTCCTTACTGAAGTGTAACAATGAGATTTGGGCTTTTGTTAACATTCATGCATTGTTTTAGTGTTGATCCCTAAAACAGTTTTAAAACTGTTTCAGAAAATACTGAAATTCTGGCAGAATGTTCATGTTTTAATATGTATTGCCTATAGTTGAACAAATGGGTGTTTTTCACTCATTAGTGCCTTTTGAAATGTTTATCGTATGCTTGGCCAAAAAAAAAAAAAAAATAGATACAGCAATTAGTCTTTTAATATGTACCACTAATGATTTGGCTTCAGTAGAGTACTACCAATTCTTAGGGCTTTTTTTTTAAACTATCACAGAATGACTTGGGTTGGAAGGGACCGTGAACCCATCCAGATCCAACGTCCCTGCTGCTCAGGGCTGGATCAGGCTGCTCAGGGCCCAACCCAGAGTGGCCTTGAATGCCTCCAGGGATGGGGCATCTGCAGTTTCTCTGGGCAAAGAGGCGTCCACTTGTGTGTATACTGCCTGTATTTTCAGAAGAATCATCTCCTTTCTGTTTCCTTTCTCCCCCTGGATCTCACTCTAGCTAATAGCAAGGCTTGAGATTTAACTCAGTGGCATTGAGAGGGTTCTCGATGCATGTGCAGTGTGTTGGAAGCAGCACTGAGAAGGCATCGTGGTTACTGCCACTATATGTAACCTCAGTTGTTGAAAAATGTCACTTTGAAAAGATGTACTTTTGGGGCAAGAGAGAAAGTCTCATCACTTGGATCTAACCTCCAGGAATCCATTCATTCTAGTGCTGTGAAGTTTTGAAGACTTTTCCATTCGGTCTGAAAGAAGCTGCAATGAGTGTCAGTGCACAAACAAGCGTAGACACTTGGCCCATGAAGCTTTTCTAGCTGCTGTACTTCATTGTCTGGCCATGTAGGGTACTGAGGCAGTTTCTCCAAAGACTGTCAGAAACATTATAAAAAGAGAAGTTTTGGCTCTGATCAAGATGTTGACGTGCCTCTCTCCTGTCTGTAACTCATTAATTGGTGAACTTTGCTTTGAAGGAACTCCTGATTTGATATAAAACCCAATTCATTGAATATGGTTAGATTCCAGCGATGAAATAATTAACTTTCAAAAAAAGCACAGCAGAGAACTTGAAAAGCTGATTTGACCCCAAAGCTTTGGTTTTGAGTTGTATTTAAGGCTTACTGCTCCATTTTTACACAACCTGCGGAAACTGAGGGCTAATTTGTTTGGCTTACGTGGGGACAGCTTTTAATTTTGTATTCAGTTCATATTGACTCTCTTAAACATGTCTTAAAGTAGCAGATTTAGCATGAGCCAGTCAATGTAAAATGCTAAACTGAAGGTTTTACTGAAGGCATTATTGTTCTGTTATGGAAGAATATAGAGTTGAAAGATGTTCATTTACATTTAGAAATGAAAAATGTCCTGTTTATGGTGAAGCTGCTTTTTTAATCTCTTACTTGATTTTAATATTTAATGTTCTTAATTTTTTAAAGCCAAAGCCAACTGAAACAGTCACAACTGATGAGTCTGGGGTAAGATTAGTAAAGTGACCCCAGTGGTTTTACCTCTACTTGAGTTTATTCTTTTTACCATGTCTCTATTTTCCACCAATTTTTTCTGTATTTTTCATGACTGTCCTATTACAAAGGTGTATGCACTGGTTTACATTCATTGTCAATGTATTATTGAAGTCTACTACAATCAAACCCAATATGATCCCTATTAACAAACCAGAAAACTTGGAAATGCATGTGATGTGTGAAGCATTTCTACAGGTCCTGTGTTTTTAGCATGTAACTTCATGTAACTTTTCCTTTCATATCATTCTTATCAAGGTGAAAAGGCCCTCAAGATACATTTTCCAATCTTACCTCTTCCACCTCTGCATTTGATGTTGTTTTTCTGAAAGTGTTGCATGTCTGTGTTTGTATTTGGTTTGACTTCTTCATGATACTCTTCAGAACTCCGAAGACAGCGCGAGAATCTCCATCACTTTTTTCCGTCTTTTCCGAGTGATGAGGTTGGTGAAGCTGCTTAGCAGAGGAGAAGGAATCAGAACTTTATTGTGGACATTTATTAAGTCATTTCAGGTTAGCAAAATTTATTTACATTTGCTTTATAATCATTTTGTATACCAGTTTTTATGATGCGATACATCGAGGAGTGCAAATAACATTTCTTTTGAAATTCGTTCTGTCCATGACTGCACAAAGAAATACGTTTACATATTAATGCTACCAGAAACTTCACCTGCTGCTTCCTTCTGTGAGTCCAAGGATCATTCACTGTCATAAAGGTTTGCTGCCACAGTGAGATTTCTGTAGTATTTCATAGAAAGCATTAGATATGCCTGAAAAAGGAATTTTTTTGTGAAATTAAAGGATTATTTGATTTGATGCACACTGATCTTACACTTTCACACATTTTATTAGGTGACTAAAAAAGAGGAATTTAATCTTTTCTTAGAAAGAACTGATTTCATACATAGATATTTGAAACCTTGCCCCTGAAAACTGTGATGAACATGAAGTTAATGTAATTCAATGGGATGCTGGCAGAATCAGTAATGTAAATAAAATTTAAAACTGCTAAAGTTGGGTTTTTCCCCTGGATTACTGACAGAAGGAATTTAAAATACAACAAAGCTCATATTCAGTGCATATGACAGATTATTAAGAGGTGATAACATTTCAAGCATGTACCTAGGAAGAAGAACCTTGGAAGAGCCTGTGGTGTACAGAGAAATTATTTTTGTGAATTGAAATGGAAATTATGGTGTGATATTAAAATACAATTCACCTGTCCCTTTTCTAGGCTCTGCCTTATGTTGCTCTTCTGATAGCTATGCTGTTCTTCATCTATGCTGTCATTGGAATGCAGGTAATTTTAGGTGTTTTTAGCACTCAACAAAAGCACAGTGCTGGCTACCCCGAGGCCTATTTATCAGGGGGTGCTTTCTGAAATGTTCTCTTGACAGTGGTGCTGTTTATTTGACAGAGCTTTTAAATTAATGTAGACATCTTTTGTTGACTGTGATTTCGACAGTCCAAAAAAGATAGGAGAGCTGGGTGTGTGCTTATAGTATCTTGTTTTGCTGAGAGGTGACCTTCCTCTTTCATTTACTGTGTAGCTTATTGCTATGCATAAATGCATGAAAAAAATACATGGCTTTTTAGTATAGATTTGCTTTTGGAGTAAGGCATTACAATAAAAAAGATTTTCTTTTGATCCCAAAGTGGTAAGGTTCCCAAACCAAGGGACCTGCATGTATGCAGAGCACAGCAACATTAATCTCTCCTAATTAAATAACGACTTCCACTGTACTGCAAGAGGATTTCAATTAATTATTTTGGAGAGAAAGAGTGCTTTTTTTGACCAAGGAATTACAGTTTAATTTTGGAGTACATTTTCACCTCTGGCTGGGACAAGGTGCTCAGACTCCATTCTCTGACTTCCATCTTTACATCTGTCCACCTAGATTCGAGATTTTCAGGACAGCAATCATTTCTTACTACAAGTTTGCACAGTACCTATTGTAATGGGGTTTCAATCCCATCAAAGGACTATAGGTGCCAAATCAAAGCAAATACATAGTCATCTAAAATACAAAAGGAAATATTGATGTGATAATGATTTAATGATGCCAAATTAAAATTAAGAATTATCTTGTATGGATGGATTATTTACTACATCTACATTATCAGGAAAAATATAAGGACATTAGAGAAAGTACATGTGTGTTTTACATATGTACTGAAGCTGGTCTAGACTATAGGGACCACAGTTTCTGAGAGTATGGGCCATTAAGATGAAAGTAAAATCTTGTTTTTCTGTAGGTGTTTGGAAAAGTGGCCATGAGAGACAACAATCAAATAAACAGAAACAACAATTTTCAAACTTTCCCCCAAGCTGTGCTGCTTCTCTTCAGGTGAGTAAACCTGAACTCTCACTTGGTGCATTCACATTTTGGTGGTCCAGGAAAAATGTCTATAGAACTTGTTCCGTGGATTTGCTCTAAATGTGTTTCTAAGTTAGAAACAGTTCTGTCAGCCCATACTGTCTGCAACTGTATACTGAGCATCCACTGGATTCTAATCAGGTGCTATAGGCCTGAAGTCATTACAGCTCTTGTGAAACAGCTCATTCATGGAGGAATTGTCTTCCAGTGCAGCCTGAATAGAGTCAGTCCTGATGCTACTGTGCAGGTGTTGGGAAAAGGAAAAATGACTTTGCTCTTGTTTTATTCTTAGGAAGGCCAATCAAGCTAGACAGTTTGAAAAGAAAAAAATGAAAAGCTGTTGCAAAGATGGAAAAAATAAACTGTTCTTTACATTTTATGACGAGATGGTGAGTGGTGGGTGTAATTTGCAGAAGGAGGCATCAGATAAGCAGTAGGTGAAAAGTTCTGATGGTACAGGTAGCTAAATTCTTGATATAGGTGATCCTGGGGAATTATGGAATCTCCATCACTAGAGAGGTTAAGAACAGAGTAAACCTGTGTTGGGAGTTCTGAAAATGCCCTGGAGCAAGTGGAGGAAATGATGTGGATCAGGCATGCCTCTAGGGGTGTTGATCTTGATCTTGTGACTCTGGTGCCTGTGAGTCTGTATCTCTACTTGGCTCCTGCATTTTCTACCCTGTTCTAAAAAGAAGGTTCTCTTTTTCAGCAGACAAGTTTGACAAGAAGATCAAGAGATAACAGACATAAATCAGAGCTAACAGAGATATCAAAGCCATGTCCTAATAAGTAGATATATCAGCATGTCATAACGTGGAGCACAGAAGTAGTACAGCTAATAGTGCTAAGCAGAACTGACTGTACTGGAGATAGACCAGTGGACAGAGTTCTGTGATCCGTTTGTGTGGATCATTCTGAATTTATAAGGTGGATGCCAGGAGAACAGGGAAAAGGAGAAAGAGGGCACCTGTATTCCACCACACAGCTCTGTCACTGCTTGGTTTCATTCAGGCCTTCTGCTTTGCATGTTACCTGACTCGACCGAAATGATGTGACATTTCTTCCACACTCACTGTAGGTCTCAGACAAAACTGAATTAATGTGTGGGATAAGAGGAAGGAGTTCTCCATATGCATATCACAATGAAGATCAATGCTTTATAGACAGATTTATACTTTCGTGCACAACAGCTGCCCTGCAATAGCTATTTAACTTGTAAATCACGGCTTGGGGTGCAAAATTGTCACATGCAAGCCTTTCTGGTGCATGAGTGTGCTCTGTTAGGTCTAAGCTTCTCATTTTTGAAATCCATCCTATAATTTTTAATTAGTTCCTACTCTGAGGTATTTATGATCTGTTTTCACATTTCTACATGTACATCTCCAGGCATTTTGTTGGAACTTAACAAATTAATACATCTTTAGTTCATGTGATCAATTAATACTTCATTTCTCTTTGTGATTTTATTAAAGGTGTGCAACTGGAGAAGCTTGGCAGGAAATCATGCTGGCATGTTTGCCTGGAAAACGTTGTGATCCCGAATCTGATTATAATCCAGGGGAAGAATACACGTGTGGAAGCAATTTTGCCATCATTTACTTTATCAGTTTTTATATGCTTTGTGCATTTTTGGTGAGTTCAGCTGGTGATTATTATCAGAAATAAGTTTTGACTTCTTGAATTTCTTCTGAAGTAAAACAGCAGTGCAGTCAGAGAACGATGTAGAATCCCATATCTAAAATATTTTTGCAAGGATTTATTTTTCGTACATGCCCCTAGATCCTGTATCCTATACTGCACACCAGCAAATTCTCATATACAAAATATCCTTGTGACCTCAGGCCTCCCTGTAAGCCAGAAGTGGTTGCTTGCACATTTGAAAGCTAAGGTGATCATCTTTTCACCAGCTATTATGTCATGTCTGTTTTTGGTAATGCCATTAAGTGTCATTAATAATGAAACTGCAGTTCATTTGACTTAATAATGCTATATCAGTATTATTTAAGCTTCACAGAATTTGTATGTGTCTCTACAGGTGTGTTCCAACTGTGGCACAAGATTTAAACTATAAACTTTCTTCCTAATCCTAATAATGGCATAATTAATTATTTGTTCTACAGTAGTCTCTGAAATACGTTTTTCCCCATTGCAGGTGCCTTGGCCGGTTGATTTGTTATGTTCACAGTTCTGTTCTCCTGGCAAAAGGAGATTGATTGAACAGACTCCTGAACCACTGTAAACATAACTGTTCAGTGTCATCTCTTATGTTAATGAAACATGCAGAAATCTCATTGGCGTGTCACTGAATCTTATGAATACAAATATGCAATGTGTCACTCAAATGTTGTATTCTTTGGTCTGGCCAGTCAAGGAAGAGAAACAAAAACATTGAGCAGCCTATGTCAAAGATTGAGTACTGCACAGCAGAATCATACTCTTCTCATCTGGTTGCATGATAGAGTTCCAATTGGGCAGTTAAATTTTCAGCAAGTATTTTCTGTGATATTCTGTAGTATTTGCCAAAAATCATTATTTATAAGATGAATTTATTTAAGTGCTTGAATTCTGCACCTCCTACCTTATACAGTTATTTATTGAAAATATTTGCGCTTCAAAAAATTAAATGTAGACATGTATTCTTAATTGCTTTTTAGATAATAAACTTATTTGTGGCTGTCATTATGGATAACTTTGACTATTTGACACGTGACTGGTCCATTCTGGGTCCTCATCATTTGGATGAGTTCAAAAGGATATGGTCAGAATATGATCCTGAAGCAAAGTAAGTTAAACCATTTATCTGGTAGAACTTATCTGTTAAAAATAAGAATGCACTGCTTGAAAGCAGAGCACAGTATATACTTTGAGAACGTATGTATATTTGGTAATTGATGTGTGTTGGTTCTAGGGGAAGGATAAAGCATCTTGATGTGGTTACATTACTGAGACGCATTCAGCCACCACTTGGTTTTGGCAAATTATGCCCTCACCGAGTGGCCTGCAAGGTAGGTTCTGCTTTTTTCTTTGTAGGTTTCTTTCACTGTTTAAACATTCATTTGTTCAACTCTACCAAACACTTGTGTCTGTACAGTAATTCTGTTTATTCACAAGATCTCCACTCTAGTTTTCCCAGTTTTCTGCAGGCTTGACTTAAACCAGCAATACCAGTGTCATTTCTCTCATTGTAATCATTTGAATTTATTGCCAACATAAAATTCTTGACAGAGCACCAAAATAAAAGGAGTTGGTCTGTATGTTTGTCATTAGTCTTTTATTGTGATATATATGAACTAATTCAACCCAACATTGACGGTGACCCCGTTTCTGGTTTCTTTTAGATCCGAGGCAGAAAATGGTACTTTACTTTAGTTCACAATTTAGTTTTCATAAAGTATTTGTCCAGGTGCATTCATGGAACATTTGGCTTCACATGAAACATAGAATTGACCTTGAAGGGAAGAGAAGGCATGATGATAAGCCTTGCAGAAATGAATAATATCTAAATAATATGCAGAAATGAGTGAGAAAACTGAAAATTAACAGAAATTTAAAATAAAGTAAAATTTGTTAGGCACAATGTGTAATTTGTATGACAATTACATTTTAATATAAAAGTTGAAAAGCTACTCGAAGTTGCTTTATTATATTATTTAAGGAATTCAAAACTACGGGTGTTCTAGTTTTAGCAGTTTCAGTAGGAATCAGATTGCACCTTAAAGGATCCTCACAACAGCACTGTGCTTTGAATTTACTGTATTTGTATTATGAATAGCCAAACTGGTATATGAAACACTAGGGTCAAAAGAAATGCCAAAACCCATGAAAACTATTGGGTGTTCTAGCTTTGGTAGAAGCATCCAAGTCATTAGTATCAGAAATAGGTGATAGTGGTGTTTATCACAGACAGCTGGGATAGAAGGCTCAGTGTTTTTTGAAGAGTTCCATAATGTTGTGTCTCTCAGTGGTATTATTTGATTCTGTCACCTTTTCAGAAGTGAGAGTTACAGAAGGTATTTTTTCTTTTTTTCAAACAAAGTGTTTTCTTCTCCTTCACAGAGGTTAGTAGCCATGAATATGCCACTAAATAGTGATGGAACCGTCATGTTCAATGCTACTTTGTTTGCTTTGGTTAGGACTGCTCTAAAGATAAAAACAGAAGGTAAGGTTCCTATCTGCCAAGCCCTTATTGCACTTGTCAGAAAGTGCAATGAGGAAAAACAAGAAATTATTACTTTTGTTGAACATGAGTAAGGCTCCTTAAGTCTCAGTGGGTTTGCTTTGGTTTTTATTCTGTTTTGCTGAGAATGATTTGTTAGAAAATAAAGGGAGGCCAAAGCCTAAGCAGTCTTAGAAATTATGGCGTGCTTTTACTTGGTCATTTAAAAACAAGTAGCAGTTATGTAACAGGAGTTGTACTGCTAAGAATGAATGAGTTCCCCTTTCTACTCAACCAAGATGCTTCCTCCTCACTGCTCTTTAACTTAATACCTTGGATCCCACATTAGTGCAACTGTGGCTTTTGCAGCCTTGAAGGTGACATCCCCAGGTTGGTGGAGACTCGTTATGATGGGGCTGAATGGGTTTCTGTAATTTGCATCAGAGGGAAAAGCCTTGAAAGTGTGTTATGTTCAAGGGAATTTTGCCTTTCATTTTATATATTTTGTCATTATTTTACTTTCATTTCTTCCTGTTTCATGTCTTCTGCTGTTCTCAGTAGAATTTGAGTTCCATTGCCAACAGTACACAAATTAAGCCTCCTCAAGCAACACTGTGGCTAAGAATAGCACTGCAAAAGATGCTCAGCTGAACCTGCAAGCCTGCAAAGTTGAGAAATTACTGTGAATAGACCCCCGCCCCCCCCCCCCAAGGGAAAAAAAGCTCAGCTTTGGATAAGGAAAGGTGAGGCTTGCAGAGTTGTCATGTGCTGCACAATTTATGCAGAAGTATTAAGGAGTGACAGAGTAGAGCCAGAGTAGATCTACAGAGTAGATCTGTTGACCTGAAGAACTCCAAACTTGAAAGCCCTTAGAAGTTCATCCTCTTACACCTTTTCTTCTCTTTAATTATTGTAGTGTTCTTATCTGCTACTCCATGGAGCTTAGGCTGCTGCTCGCAGTCTTTATCAGTCTTTGTACAGATACAGCTAATTAATATCCAAAGGATCATTAATTGCAGCTAATTTAAATATAATTGCCATCCTCTATGTCTCTATTTTGTTGCCACAGGTAACCTAGAGCAAGCAAATGAAGAACTTAGAGCAGTTATAAAGAAAATATGGAAGAAAACTAGCATGAAATTACTCGACCAAGTTGTCCCTCCGGCTGGCGGTCAGTGTGATAAATTTTGCTATATGCTCTTTTTTCTTTTTGGCCTTTGTAGATTGGTAGGAATTAAAGAAATAAAATCAGTAAAACTTGATAATGTCATTAAAGGACAACAAACAATAATAGCAAAATAATACAGAGACTGCTATATCCTGTTACGTTAGATAAAAAATGTAGGACAAATTAATACAACTTCCTTAGATCAAAAAGAAAGAGGAAAATGTATTTAATGTTTATTTTCTTGCTTGACAAAAAAAAAAAAAAAAAAACCAAAAAACAAAAAACCCAACCTAATTAGACCTAAATTTAGTCTTAATTTCAAGTTATTCAGTGGAATAACCTAAAGTAAGTTTTATTTCAATGCATTCAGCAAAATAATATGTATTTTTTACTAATTAAACTTGACAATGTACACTGCATTTTAGCTGATGTCCTTGTATGTGTTGAATACTTCTGGGAGGAAACTAAAAAAATTTTAATTGCAAGACTAAAAATATTTTTTCTGCTGAACTGATAAAGCACGAGGCTAAATTATCTCAGTTACATTAGCTTAAACCAGAGCAGTTCCACAGCCAACACATAATGGAACTGGTTCAGATTTAGGCCAGTATGACTGAGGTATGAATATGGCCCACGTAAAAAATATCTAAATGATCATACCAATGTGTTTACAAGAGGTATGAGGCACGTATATTGTTTCTACGTGCAGTGAGATGACATCAAATATTTGTTATATTTGTTTTAAATATATATATTGCAATATATATATTTAGAGTTTTTCAGTATATACATTTTTACCAATATGCTATAATATAGATTTAGGTGACATTATACTTGCTTTTTCAAGTTTTAAAGGTGCAGGATCTGTTGCACTGTCCATTCATACGCAGGATAGATGTGTCTGGACGTCCAGTTTACCAATCCACTGTAATCACCTGGTATTTTTTGTAGTTTATTGTACTTTTATAGTGTTACAGCAGCTTTCAAGACTGATCAGACTCAGGTTTGGAAGCAGACTCAAGATCCAGGCCCGATGGTGGTGGAGGCTGATCCCTTTCTGAAGGTGACACTCTCAGTCTCTAGGGGAGGAGGAGCATGCTGGCTGCCCCGCTGTTCAGCATGCCCCCAGAAGCAGCATTAGCTTGGTCGCTGCAGGGAGCCACGTGCTACTGGTGTGGTGGCTGCCAGCTGGTAGTGGGGATGAAGACAAAGATCTAGCAAATTTGACGATCCAACGGGGAACTGATACTGCACATTTAAAACAATTTTTTTGTGTTCTACTCTGTTGTTTTTGGCTTTACACCTAGTTGCTTGCATGGCATAGATGAATTGCTTTGTTATTGTTGTAACTATGTGCTTGAGCTTTTTCTGCAGCCTCTGTTCCTTTCAACTATGAGTCTTTCCGAATATTCTGAAGCAATTCTGTTTTAGGGTGGTGGCATGGAATTGGTGTTGCCTCTTGCCAACTTTATTCCCCTACATTTTTTATTGAAATAGAGATGCATGCTTCAGAATAGCGAGCTGTGCCTGCCTAAACCAATCTGATAAAGAATCTTTAAAGATCCCATTCCCAGAACTAATCTCACACAGCAACTCACTGTTAACTTCAGTTTCATCTCATTGCTGAATATAAGCTGTATATTAACTTTCAGCTATACTAAAATCCGTTGCTAATATTCCTTCCACAAATTTAGCTCTTCAGCATAGGTAGAAGGAGAAAATCTAGGTCACAGACTGCATAATAAAAACCTGTATGGCTTCTACAGTATAAACAAGGACATTTTGGGAAGTTGTAGAATCATTAAGGTTGGAAAAGACCACTAAGAACATCTAATCCAACCATCAAAGTCCTTAAGATTCACCAATTTTCAATTTCATTTTGACTTCATTTCTCTGCACTAAGACTTACACAATAATTGAAAATAGCATAACCTATCTACACACACACACACACACACACAAAGAGGAATACGGCTATTTTACATTCATGTGCCATAGGAGTGTAAAATAGCTCATATACAGAAAAAAAATGTTTTTATCAAAGCTTAATATTCGGTAGAAAAATTGCATATGACAGCAACACCAGTGACAGCTGATAAATAACAGTCTGCCAAGAGACAGGTTTCCAATATAAATCAACAAAGCATCCAAATTCACTGTGCTAGAATCACATCTACTTACAAGTATTGGGCTGTTCATGATATTTTTCTCAAATACTACTTTTGCTGGTATTACTGAGTGCTAGATCCTTTATGTGCCTGTGATTATGCCTCCTGAACACAAAGAGAACAGATCAATTATTTGCAGAGCAGAATGAAAGCAACCCACAAAGAGTTGTTTTTTTTTTTTTTTGCTTAATTATAAATAGATGTGCCAGAAATGGGCAGCCAGCTAAGTGCTGGTACTGGCTGAATAACTCATTAATATAATTTAATTAAACTGTTAAGAGTTAGCAACAGATTGTCAGGAAAACTAAAGCTGCTTTGCAAGAACATAGAATGAAAGTCAAAAGCCTGAATGTATAAATGTATTTAGGAGACTACGGAGTAAGAGAAAGACGTACCACCCGCTAAAGATTCACCTGCTTTCTATTCTTTAAATTCCCCAGTCTCCACCTGCAAGCCCATTTAATCCTGCCTAATACTTTTTGCCCGCAATAACTTCCTACTGAAATGATTCCTTTTGCTGTCCCCAATTGTAGCTATAGATCTGTTGATACTGTGGTCAGTTACGCTTAGCTGCCTCCCTCCCTGTCCATATCTGGCTCTGTGTGTCAAGGATGGCTCCCCTTGGCCAAGCTTCAGTTCTTGTGTGCACGTGTCTGCAATACAACTGACTGTGCCTGTGAAGTACACATGCATCTTGTTTGTACATACAGACTTTGGCATGCACGATTCAGGAAACTGGTAATGCATTCAACTAATATGTTTATTAAAAAAATTGGTGTGTGTCCACAGCAATTAATAGGGCCCTTCATTTGTGCATACTGAGACTTTGGAGGTATGGTTGTCTCAGGTACAGTCAGTAATCATAGCCTGTCTTGAGACATGCTCTAAGTGCAACCTGTGGTAGTGTATGTTTTATCGAGTCTGTCACTTCTATGTGCGTGTTCTTTCTAGGAGCCATTTGCTATATCACTTCCTCAAAGAGTTCTGTTCAAATAGTTGAAACAAAATAACACAAAGGATGGGGAAAGGCTCATCTGGGGAATTTGACCAAGGATGCATTGCAGAAATGAATGGATTCAGCTAAGCTAAGGAAGGCAAGTTTAGATCAGATACTTTATAAGAGACCTCTTCTGAATACAAAAGACCACTAGGCTCCAGAGAAGCCGCCAACAGACATCGCAGATGAGCATCAAAACAAATGCTCACACAAAAGATTAAAAATTAGATTTGGGGAGTCAGTAAAAAAGCTTTTCTACTGTTGAAACTGAACTGAGACACTGGGGAGCTTTTCTTGTGAGCTCTGGAGTCCTTACTTCCCGGTGGAAGGAAGGGAACTGTAGGCAGCTCTTGAAGAATGTCTGTATTTGGCAGAACAGACACACTAATGTGCAAAGACATTTCCCGTGACAGGCTGGTCTTCCAGCCCAAGACATTTCAAGGCAATTACTATAATTTGTTTTGCTCTGATACCTTTAAAAAATAAAACGTTGGGAGAATACATCCCTGGTGCAATTTTCCTCAAATTAAAGCTTTGTCACATGCATATAGCCTACATCATAAATTCTAGTGAAATACATCCAGAGAACTCTGGAGGGAGCTTGTTTTGAATGCTGAGGATTCACTTTGTCACAGAGACACAAATAAGTTTTAACAGTTTTACATACAAATTGGATTTCGCCCATCCTTTTTATTGACTTGAAAGCAGGTCATAAAAAGTAGAAAGTTAATAATGTTTAAATTAGTGAAAACTGTGATAATACAGGTAAAAATACTGTTAATAATTATTAGTGAGATACATTGGGACAGATTATTGATAAAGCTAAAACACAAGAATGTTTTATTCAAACACTAATGTATGATGTTACAGTAAATGTCAATCGCTTTAAAAAAATCACTTGAGAGGAGAAAATCTTGCTTAACAAGATGTGTTCATAGGTAAGAAATAAAGACAAACAAAGCAAATGAAGATACCTCTCAGGTCTGTACTAATTCTTCATTAGAGAGAAAAAACAATTGAGATAAAACTTGAAAAAAAAAAAAAGTAATAGGATTTTTCTTCTAACAAAGATATGTTAAAATATGTATGAGCACATTAGATTTCCTGTGTGCAACCAAGCAAGTCATGACAGTGTAACCCAGATCCCAAAGTATGTAAGCACCCTTGTGTGGTGACTGGGGTGACAGGGACTTACTGTCAGGATGTGGGCCCTGCCAGGGGCTTCCTTTCTGTAGAGCTCTACCCTGCTAGTTGCAAATAGCTGTCTTGATATATTGCCAAAATATGGAGGGTAGGCAACACAGCAGTAAGAGAAACAGCTAGCTTCATGCCATGTAGCTCTGGGGGAAAGAAGTGTGTGAGAACAAAAGCAATGTTTTTGAATAGAAAACTATTCCTAGTTTTCTGGCAAGTATATTACATGTCAGGAGATCAAACTCACACAGCTGAATGAATGGAACATGCTACAAACTAGGAGATTTTGGTATTGTAAGGTACCGTTGAACTTTGAAAACTTTGAAATTTGGATTCTTTTCACAATAGTGACTCTAGAAAATGTTTGGTTTTTTTTTTTACTGCACCTACTGTCTGTGTATCTATTGAACTGCACGAAATTAATTGACATGAATTATTTTCCTGTCTATCAGCGTTTCAGAGGTGGTACAATACAATAATATGGGGAAGCACCATGTGTGTTTCATATTCATTTTTATCACCACCTGACTGGGAGGTGGCAAGGGACCAAATCTTCACTTAAGCAAGAAAAAATGTGTTAAATTGTAAAGACAGTGAGATTTCAGTCTAGAGTCAGCTTTCTTGGGTGACAGCGAGAGAGCAAAAGATACAGCCCAGCTTGTTTATCTGGGATACACAGCCAATTCAAAGTGGAAGATGTTAAGAAAGTACATAGCAAAGCAACCTATAAGGTTGTCAAAGTCCTCATGTAATTACAAAAATAGCATATTAATACACTGATCAAAAAAATTTGTAGCAGCAGGAATAAAAAATGAGATATTGTAAGCAGGACTTTTTGTATAGACTAACTCTTGTGTAAGTCACAGAAACTCTTGTTTTAATTCGTTTATTTCAACTAATGAAAGCCAATATTTCAGTTGCTATGCACATACAAACGTGCTGATGGTTTTGTTAGAAACTTACATGAACTAACCCACAGGTACGTGAGACTTGGTAAAGTGTTGTATTTTCTTCTTTATTAAGGATGAGTCCACTTAACTGACTGAGCATAACTTGCTTGCTAAAACATTGCTTTAAGCTAGCTAGAGGTCCCATTACTGTAAGGTGAAAGTGTAGTGCCTATTGCACCCATCACATTTCTTCCCCCAAATCAGATATGAGTGTACAGGCTATTGCCAAATGTGCTGACCTGGGAGAGATCTGTCTGGTCTGTTCATTTAGATGATGAGGTAACCGTGGGGAAGTTCTATGCCACCTTCCTGATACAGGACTACTTTAGGAAATTCAAGAAACGCAAAGAACAAGGACTGGTGGGGAAATATCCTGCGAAGAATACCACGATTGCTCTGCAGGTGATTTTGTTTTTACATTTTAACTAACCATTTTGTGAGCTTGACATACCAGGTAGATGAATGTTGATGGTTGTGCAGTGCTGCAAGGATTTTGTTTAGCTGGGACTCTTTGTTCGTCAGAAAAGTAAAACATAATCCAGCTTTTCTGTCTGTAACAAGGTAAGTGCAGTACTTTATTCTCTGTGGATTACTCAAATGGTAGCAACAGTTATAAGATTCCTCAACCAATAGAGTTGATGTAAATACCAGATAAATGAAGTTCTAAGCTACCATTTCCATTATTTGTTTTACTTGTCTTTTATTTCTTGTGTTTCTACCACATTGTAAGCCAGTTCTCAGAAAACATCCTGACAGATGTTATAGTAAAGAAATTTTTGTATGCTGTTGTTTTGCTTCCTAATTCTCACTATTCTTTTATTTTTAATTTTTTTTCCCCACTCATGATTACTGGTGAGATTACTTCCTATCAGCAGTTTCAGTGTTTGGAACTTAACTTTCTATAGAATTAATGTCAGCGTACTTTATTAATGCCATGTACTTCTGCCTGTCTCTTAAAACAAGCTATCAGATGGAAACCAGGACTGTAGACAGTGCTCTTTGACCTTCTCTCTCAGGAAGCCTGCAGCAAGCTGTCCATTGAGTATAAGTGATCTGGAGGTTATGATTTGAAAGATTCTATCTGGGTATACCCTTTGTGTTATAAACTTTGAAACAGAAAAATGGGAGGCTGTCCTCAAATAATTCCAGACGTCATACACTGCATTATTTTTATTGGATTAGGACTTTATTTCTGTTACTGGGCCTTATGAAGAGAAGAAAAGCAACTAGTTTTGAAATGATAAGCAGTAATTCCTGTTAGCTATCTACTAACATTTCTGTTGCATTAAGTACACTCCAAGGGCATGAGTCACAAAATTCCTTAGGGTTGGATTGCTCACAGTGCCTTTCTTTTCCTGTTGACTGATATTTATGCATTAAGAAGGAATCTAACTTTGCTCTGGTCTTACTTCTGTGGCAGTAGTTAAAGAGATGGCTTTCTGTGGTGATGGAAATGTGTATCGAGCCAAACAAATCACGTTGCCAGTATAGATAAATGTTCAGTGAAGCATGAACAAGTTTAATTACTCTCATCTACTGTGCAGAGCAAATGATGAATTAATTTTAGCCTAACCTATGTAATATTTTCATCTAGATGTTACATTTATTTACACATAACTCTCTTTGTTAGGAGGTACAAATAAAAATTTCTCTTCGTATCACAAATAAACAAAACACTTATCTATTGAGCAGAACTTGGTTTGGGGAACATACTTCAGGTTATCTAACTACACTTTTTCTCATGATTTCTTTTTAAACTAATATCAACAATTAGCTTGGGAGAAAAAAGCCCTCTAGTAAGCATCAGCTGAGGGGTTAACGAGTTTTGCTCAAGTTCAATTTAATTGTCTGCTGCGTTGATGTTGCATTCACAGCAGGCTTAGCTAGAAGGGAGTCTGGGTTTGAGCAAAAGCCCAGAGCCTTCGTGTGGTTGTAGAGCAGAGCTCAGCCTCAGCACTGGAGGATGGACTCGATGGAGATGAGTAACACTGGGAAATCAAGACTGGGCTACTATGTTTCTTATGTTCACTGCTATAGTGTAGGTCTATTCAGCTGTTCTGCATGCTTGCTTTCTTACTTCAGGAGTTGGGGATTTTTATTCTGTTCATATTAATTTAACCTTATTCTAATGTTGTATCAGTGCAGCTGTGGTGTTTGGATTTTTTGTTTGTTGTTTTCTCCTCTGTAAAACAAGCAGGTAGTAAAAACATGTTCATTTTCTGAAAGTAAAATGGTTTTCTGAAGAGTTTCATAGTCACATGCTTTCAGCACTATGAAATTCTTAAGACATAAGAGTTAAGAATTCATGTTTGTGCTTTATTTCAGATCCAGTGAGTTTATATAGCAATATATGTAACTATCCATCATTTTTCTATAATCTATGAAGCAGAGCTTATAAGCATCACTTCCATTTCCTGATATCACTGCAAAATGCCTCAACTATGGAGCACTGTTTATTTTATAAGAAATACTGTGGTGATAGTGATTCTTATTCAAACTGTTACATTTCCTCATCTTAATGTAAGCTTAAACACCTTTATGCGTAGGCTGCTTCATACTTCAAGACAGATTTGCACTTGGTTCACTTTATAGGGAAAATCCTTTTTTGGTTGTTCCAATGTTTATGAACATTGACATGCTTTTCTAAAAGTTCTGACTTTGGGCTCTTTCATCATACAAAATCTTCTTAGTGTAAAAAGAAGATCTAAAATGTAGAAAATTGATCTTAAAACTATGTGCTAGTAGTTCATCTTTTTGAAATATTTAACTTTTTTATGTTTCCATGTTTAACTTGACTTTTAAACACTTCTGTGTTTTGTTGCATGGTGCTTTTCAGGTAGTTTTAAAGTGCACTCCCTCTGAATGACTAATTCACAGGTATAGTTATCAGTCACAGGACATTTTTTCCCACTGAGAGACTCCTACAGTTCTGTTACTTCTGCATTTAAAAGCACACATGTCATCTCAGCGCTGTGCCACAGACAGAGGCATCATTAATGGTCTCTTGAGACGTGGTCTAGCACACAGTGTATTAGTGCTGAGTGCTTTGTGCTTCATAGCATCTTGAAAGAATTGCAGGTGTTATTGTCTCATAAAGCACAGCTGCACAGAATTGTTGTGTTAATTTCAAGGCATCTGGTATATTTAGAAGAAAGTCTATTTAAAGCTATGCTTGGCTTTATTATGTAATTATGTTGCTCAGAGCACTGTGTGTCACCAGTTTGCTTTCCCACACAAATTAGGCAACAAAGGCATCAGAAATTAAATTTTGCAGAGAAAATGTCTGAATAAGAAAAGCACTTTTGCAAATGTCTTGTGAAGTCTTTAGAATAGAACTAGATGCAGTCAAACACAGTAGCGTGCATCTCTTTTCTTCCTCCACTTCAAAGAAAAATCAACAAACCTGAGTAGAAACAACAGCTGCTTTCTTACAGAGCAGCATGAATAATTTAGTGTGCAGTTTTGATTGTTATCCCTTTACAACTAGTGGCTGAACATCACTTGCATGTGTTTTATCTGCTCTGTTATAGATCTTTCAATCTTCTAATGTCTTTGAAGACAAAGTTTGCTGAAAGCTGCAGGGTAAATGTACATAAATATTGACTTCCATATGCAAAAAAAAAAAAAAAAAAAAAAAAGTATCCACTAAAAACGTACTTGTAGGTAAAAACAAAATGTTTTATCAGTACATACTTCCCTTGTGGTCTCTGCAGAAGACTTTTGAAGTGGTTTAGAGGAGCAATATTCCTACTGCCAGATAAGTATTTTTGCATCAGTCCAACTTCAGCAGTAGTTGGTTGGCTCATGTCTCAAAGTATGGTCTTCTTATCAGCAAGAGTGCAGCATGGGAATTTGTCTCATGATGCAGAACTCTCCTGGCACAAAAATTGTTCTTAGATTGCTTGGAATACTTTGTTGTACTCTGCTTAAAATAGGGCAATACACGGGAGTGGTCGTTTGAATGACAGAGTTGGCAAAATTGTAGATGAATCTGTTAGTGCAAATAAGCTGAGGAACGTTTTAATTCTGCAAACAAGTATTGCTTGCAGAACCTATGGCTTTGGTACTGAATGTCAGAGGAGAAAGCTGATTATTTTAGCTTAACCAGCAGATACATGTTTATGTACAGTGATCCAGGTTTTACTCTTTTACTATTGGTTATGTCACTGCAAAAGATATGTCACAGGCAAATTAGTGATGCTGAAGAGAAATGAGATGATAAAAGCTGCCTGCCTTTATTTAGCCTTCTTTAAAAGGGAATAATTCTCCAAGAAATAAACCAGAAGGAAGTGGGACGTGTAATTGAAATTACGTGACTACTGAATATGTTGCTGACAAACATATGCCTTTTCTCAGCATTCAGGCATACATTTATGGGAAGTTGTCACTGTTTGTCTGACAGGGATATAAGCTGGGAGTTTTTGCCAGAGTTAAAATTTATAATGCTGCTGTCTAAGAGTGTTGTGTTCACAGAGAGGCACAGCTAGAAGGGAGACTGGGTTTGAGTGAAAGCCTGGACTTCTTGTGCAGCTGTAGAGCAGAGCTCAGCCTCAGTGCAAGAGGATGGGCTCAGTGGAGATGCTGTAGCGTAGGTCTATTCACCTATTCTTCCACATGCTTGTTTTCTTTAGGATTTCTGACATGGTATTCTGTTTATCCTACAGTTTATTTTAAAATGGCAGTGATTTGGAAATGCAAATGATGATATTACTAATGACTGAGTAACCAAAATAGTAAAGCCTTTGGTCTGCCTTGAAATCTGTACCTGGGAATGTTAATCTTACTTCCTTTTAGCACCTTACACAATTATGACATTAGCAAACTTGCTAAGCTTGGCTGTGCAGTTAGCATAAGAAGTAGGAGAATGTATTCACAAAAAGTACATTGTATATTAATTCTCCAGTAAGTGATTTTAGGTTTAGTTCAATTATATCTTATCTCTCAAAGTTCACCCTTGAGAAAGAGAATGTAATTGCCAAATTCAGGTAGGTAATGTGAGCACCTATTTCAGGAAGTGAGATACTGAAACTAGAACTGAAGAAGAGTGTATGGTAATGTCAGATATGAAGCTTTTTGCTTGATCCCTTTTCAGGTTCTGATTGCCCACACTGCCCAAACACCATTTTGCTCCCCAGCCAGCAAGCTCTTTCCTTTCGGAGCTGAAGCCTGGCTGCAGCGTGCTGCCGGGGTCGCGTGAGTGGGACTGAGCCACGCGTGGTGTCCTCCACGGTCCTTCAGTTCTGTCTGCAGCAATGAAGCATGCAAAACTCCCCATGCATTTTCATGCCACATTATTCCCCTTGGGAATAATGCACATCTTCATGCCCATTCCCCATGCAAATAACATGCGTTTGATACGTATCCGTATCAAAAATACACAGCTAAATGATGAAATAGGCTTTTAATAGTGAGCAACAATTGTGCCAAGTGTAAGTCTCTCATTGGCAGTCCCAGCAGAGACCTCCTGCTACAAGTTGCTCGTGATAGCAGACTGGAGAAAGAATTTGAATGAGTACGTGCTGAGCTCCCAGCTGCTGGAGCTAGGTGGCTTTCTGTCTTAAACTAAAGCTTTAAAACAGATTTCTGTGTATCACAGTGCAATGCAGATGGGCTGCAATTATTTCACTGCTTTCTTTACCATTTGAGCTCTGCTAAAACTGCTGCTGCTATAGCAAAGATCTCCTCATGTTTCCTGTGTGAACACAGGCTGCAAACATGTTTTTGACATTAAACATACATCCCATTGAAATACGCTATTATAGTTCTTGTCGATTGCTTATTGCTTTATTATAAGATGATGTAGGGTTCCATAAACATCAGTGGTCTTTTAGTCAGCACCTACTCTGCTAATAAGTGATCACCTCAACAGGATTGGATTGTAGTTGACTACAGGCCTTTTATTTATAATATTAAAGAGGTATATAGGAGAATGCATCTTCTACAACTACCAGGATACAAAAACTTGATGACTGTTTTTAAAAGTAACTGAAGAATTTGCATTCCTAATATATTATGATATTGTCCTTAATTTAGGCAGGACTAAGGACACTTCATGATATCGGCCCTGAAATACGCCGAGCTATATCCTGTGACTTGCAAGATGATGAACCAGAGGAAAACAATCCAGACGAGGAGGAAGAAGTGTATAAAGTAATGTCAGAACACAGCTCTGTGATTTTTTTGTTATGTAATATGAGTTTTATAGAATGAGCTTATCCCTGAATGTGGAAGAATAATAAAAACCTCAAGTCAGCAAAACGTAAATATTTAATGAACATCAGTATATTGCATTTATATCTGGAAAAGTGGTATTACCAGGACACCTGCATCTCATCATAATCTTAGGAAGCAGTTCCTGTTGGGTGATTCTCCCACCCCTAATTCCTTCCTGTTAATTCTTACTTATTCTTAAGCAGATTCTAAGAAAGATAGGAGCTTTGCACAGCGCCTGCAAAGCCAAATTGTGATAGTGTTAAGGAAACTGGACATACCTTAATTTCTGCTTTGGTGGAAGAGATGAAATTCTAGGCAGACAAGCCTCAGCAGATGCAGAGGTGCATGTATAAAAAAAAAACAACAAAACTAGAGTTACACTGTAGTTAACTAAAGATAAAGGCCAGTCTCAGTTTCCTGTGAGGGATATCAACAAAAATCAATCTGGGAAAAAGATTAATTTCAGGAGCTATCTGCACACCATTGTTAGCCAGCAAGAAAGCTTAATTAAGAAGTAGATGCAAAGGTGATCTTCTGCAGAAATGGTCGTAAACCCCATAGTTTGCTTTTGTCCTTCACCAAAGAAGAGGATGTGGCACTGGGGACAGTGCTACAGTGACCAGCAGTGGATGTGTTTCTCTGCCAATCATCATAACGTCCTGTCTTCTCTAGATTGAGCTTCAAGACAGACTGCTGTCATCCAGGACCCACACCTGGCTAGACAGGGAGGCTACATAATCTGGGTTAGATGTGAAAGAGAGTTGCATGACATAGTCATAATTTTTCACTTCATTCTCTTTCTCACCATCCATTACACTCTCAGGGCTGATAAAGAGTTATTACTCTTTCTTGTACCTCTGCAAGAAGGAAGAACGGAACCACTGAAGCTTAATGCTGTCTACTTGAGATATGCTTGCAAGCTGTTGCATGGCACTCCATCCTGTCTGAGTGACGCCTGCTGCAAACCAGTGCTCCATGAGAATAGGAGAATTCCACCAAAACGTTCTTGAGAGTTACACAGACATGTCCGTTTCTGAGGAATTTGGTGCATGTTCTTCGTGTATGGGAATCTGGGTTTCTCCTGTATAATGAAACATGGAGAAAGCCAGAAGTCACAGGTGTATGGAAAAAGAATACCGTTCACTGCATAATGTAGATTTGACTTTGAAATCCAAATATTGTCATTGTCACAATCACATCTCTGTCACTTCAGGAGATGCCATGTGAGGCATCATGAAATTAGAAAGAAAATTCACAGTGTATTTGAATTGTTACTTTGTACGCGTGTAGGAAAAAAGTAAATGATCATCAGTCAAAAATATGTTCTACTAAGGTATCTGATTTTCTTTTTTCTTTCTCTTCTCCTAAAACAGAGGAATGGTGCCCTCTTTGGCAACCATATAAACCACATTAGCAGTGACAGACGAGATTCGTTTCAGCAGATCAACACCACGCACCGTCCCTTACATGTGCAGCGGCCTTCATTTCCATCTGCAAGCGATCCTGAGAAAAATGTATATCCTCAGACAGGAAATTCTGTGTACCACAATCATCATAATCACAACTCAGTAGGAAAACAAGTTCCAAACTCAACAAATGCCAATCTCAATAATGCCAATGTATCCAAAGTTGTTCATGGGAAACACGCTAATTTTGGAAGTCATGAGCATAGATCTGAAAATGGTTACCATTCATACTCTAAAGCTGACCGTGAGAAGCGTAGAAGGCCAAGCAGTAGGAGGTAAATGTACACACGTATTTGCTTTTAAAGGAATTTTGAATGTTTAGTAAGAAAACTTGTGCCATGTGAAACTAATTTGTTATATTTAGCTTCATTTCGGTTCCTTATTGATTTATGAACTTAAAGTATGGCTGTAAGATATGGGAAAAGTTTATAATTTTAATAAGGTTTGAAAATAGTCATTTTCTTAAAATAGAAGTTACTTTACAGGCATTGTAATCACACAGTTTTGAGAAATTCACTGGTGATTATAAAATATCTTTCTCCATAATTTCATGGCTTACCTGGATAGAACCCGCTACTACGAAACATATATTAGGTGAGTTCACTTTTTTATGTTTACAAAGTAGTTCCCAGTTTTAAAAATTAACCATCTAAGAATGCATATGCTGAGGAAAAAAAAAAAAAAGGGAGTACTTCTGAGATACATTTTCTACTGCTAATTTTGAGAGAGTATTCTTCTATTCTTCTGGTTAAATATGTCCAGGCAGGTTCGTGCTGTTTTCAACAGGCAAAGATCACACTTGATGGTAATCCTCGTTTAAAATTGAATTGCATAGGCTGGAAAGATAATGATGATAGCTTCTGTGAATATTGTTGTTTGAGATTGCATTTGAAGGGGCACTACACTTCTCTTGCTTTTATGTTGGAATATTTCCAAAGGCAAGATTTAAAAATTGGATATGGTGTTACATGAAATTCATTGCTAAGTGTACACTCTGTGGTAGCTTGAGGTGTCCAGATGTACACACCCAGTTTCAGTTTTTCCTGGATGACATCAGTGGGTTCTCTTTAATTTTTTTAGCTATTTCATAAACTTGAGACATTTGAGAGAGGTTTATTCTACCAAATATCCTGAATTTATATTTTGTAAAAATGTCTTTGTAAAAATGTCTTTGGCTTTGTGGGGCATCTGCACATTTTCATATTTGTATCCCAAATATGCATTCCCCCGATCTTTTCACATTTGTATCAGATCAATACTTCTGGGCTGTACTTCCTCAGAACATACTTAAAGTCACACTCTGCCCACAAGAGTTGTCAGTGCTTGTCTTTTTTTCTTGAAAGTACCTTAATCAGTCCCAAGTGTTTGCTTGCTGCTTACAGGTCTGACTCTGGTGATGGCCGTCGACCAACTATTTGCCGTGAAGAACGTGACATTCGAGACTATTGCAATGATGATCATTATTTGGGAGAGCAGGATTATTATAGTGGAGAAGAATACTATGAGGAAGACAGCATGTTGTCAGGAAGCAGGTGAGTGTGTTTGTTTAACCTGAGGAAGGGACTTCAGTAATTGATGTACTAATCCACGTAGGCTTCACCGAGTGCACTTGCACTGAAAATCCTCTAATAAATTTAATTCTTCACAACCACTGATTAATGAAGTGATGGACAAGAAGAGTTGGTGTACCAAGGATCTTTGTGTTTGTCATCAAATGCTGAATCCAGCAGAAGTTTTTTACCAAATTTAAAGCAAAGCAGAAAAGTTCATTTGACCTGAGTATAAACTAGTGCTGGTATTAACTCAACTAATATAGAATTGGGTATCCTTCTTTTGAAAATTCTCATTATATTACTTCATTAATCATCCTAATCTTGGCATCATTTTCTGTCTTGTTAAAACACACACTTAACACTCTCACGGTTGTCCTGGCCTTTATGTGCTGGGAACAGATGGTTTTTATGTTTTTTTCATACTCCTTATGGAAACATCATAGATGGCATTTCAGTCAGCACGTTGGCATTTCTTCATATTTGTATTACTGAACAATATGGAAACTTGTATTCATCTGAGGCTCTGTGCAGGGTTAGCTTTATAACCCAATTCCTCTCAATTTTCTGACTCAATTATGCTTTTTCTGGCCCAAACCCAGAGAGGTAGCTTGGTTAATCGTAGCATTTCTGTCAAGTAGAGTTTCGTTGTTCTTATTTTCAACTTGGCATTCAAATCTTAATTTTAGACTTAAGCAAATAAAGCCTTGATTTTCTTTTGATAATTTTAACTTCTTTGCTGCAATTTTCTTTACCTTGACTTCTTCAGGAATGGACCACTGTAGGTTTTTCTAACTTTAGAACTGTGCTTCCCAAGTTAGTTTGGCTTGACAAACACCACTGTGACATTGCTTCAGCAACGTCAGATCCAAACTCCACATTTGGGTTTAAAAAATCTTGAGTAGTTTGTTGCCTGGTTATCTTCCTTAAAACAGCTTCTCTTGTGCTGAATTTGCTTCAACAAATTCTCAACAATATTCTCCACTTCTATTAATGTATTTTTTAATGTTGAAATACTGCCCCAAAATAGAAGAATTTATTTCCATAAACCAACATGCACTAGCACCACACATGCTTTATTCTCCTTGTATGCTATCTTTATTTGCCATATGAATTTTAACAAGATTGGCACTGATCGTGTTGGATTGATTGAAAGCTAAGATTTGCATGAAAGCTGAGGTTCACACAATTCTCAGGACACTCATTTTTTCTATGATAATTACAGCCAAATAATAACCTTGTACTATTTGATTTTTGACTTCAGGAGTTTCAGGAGTGTGAAAGGCTGAATTCTGTTTTCTGAATTTCTGTGCTCTACCGCCTGGGTTCAAAAAAAAGGACAGGAGAAGAACAGAATTTTGTTTGTAGAGTTGTTTTTTAAGGAACATTCAGTTTAGCCTGTATTGGTAGGAATAACTTCATTGCAGATATACTTTGATAAACATTTCATGACAACATGTTGTGTAATTATACTAGTAGAAAAATGTATGCTACCTCCATCTGTTTGTACACACACCATAGATTTTAAAATTAAGTCATATAATTATAAAATGTAGTTATACCTGGTTTTGTTTGGTATCTTCTAGAAATCTAAACAGCTCAACATACGGAAACTCTGAAATAATCTTTTCTTTACTGTACTTGAATTCAGGCATGTATATGATTACCACTGTAGACATCACTGTCATGACTCAGATTTTGAAAGACCAAAAGGTTACCATCACCCACATGGGTTTTTTGAGGAAGATGATTCACAGACCTGTTATGATACGAAAAGATCTCCTAGGAGACGGCTGCTACCTCCAACACCAGCATGTACGTACATTAAGAACAATGCGTTTGCAAGCCCAGAATGATTTAAATTCATAAAAATATTTTCCAGTTTAAAAAGCTTATTTGTAACTTGGATTTCAATCTTGACATCTCATGATGAATATTGCCAGTAGATTTCTGAGAGTTGCTCAATACCTACAGATCCTAACATACAAATCAGTCAAATATCCCTTGCCTCACTGAGGCAATAGTATGAAACCAATCACTGTAATTGCTGATTTAATTGAACTCGTAAATGAAGGTAGAATGCAGCTTTAGTTATCTTTGAAACAGTCATCAGATGGGTTCAGTCTGGGCTTTCCTTATTCGAACCCACAGATGGTGCAGCATTGCTGTTGTCTCATCTGCTGGCACCTCCCTTCCCCTTAACAGCCACACTTCTTAATGACACTGAGATTACTTCCATGTAACTCCTGCTGTTTTAGTAAACACTAGAGACTGAAATTCAGTGATTTGCAGGGAAAACAGAGCCAAGAGCAAGCTTAATGGTGAGGGGTTGAGGGTTTTTTATTTATAAACTAGGGATTTGGTATTTCCTTTGGAAGTCTGACTCATTAGAATGAAGAATTTAGAAGTATGGAGAAGAAAGAATAAACTCTTATTTTTTGTTATTCACAGCACTGTACAGCGAAACTCTGAAGTTAAGTATAGAAACCAATCTGCAGAACTGGAAAACGTTTCTTTCATAAACATGACTGCATCGCATTCTGCTGCTCATATTTCTGCCTAGGACTGTATTTGCTCGTGTGATTAATCTATTTATTATAACTGCTTTCTTCTGTTAGCAAACTCTTTTTCTTATCAGTAGGATATTTTTTTGTGTGTGATAGTTGTTGCACAGTGGAATTCTGGAAACAACACACTTCAAGGAAAACTGTTTCATTTTCCTAATCAATTATGCTTTCTCCATAGCAAATAGACGATCTTCCTTTAATTTTGAATGCCTCCGCCGACAGAGTAGTCAGGATGATATTCCACTCTCTCCAAATTTCCACCATCGCACAGCTTTACCACTTCACTTAATGCAGCAGCAGGTAAATCCAGGACTTAACTAATAATGAATTACATCTTTTTATTTTCCATATCATACCTTAGACTTTCATTTTTGCTTGAAACAGTACTATAGGATTATGCATAAAGTACTAGGTGGTCATTTCTAGTGCATGAGGATACTACTGAATAATTCAGATCTTTTAATAAGCATGGGCAGTATATGGTGAATATAAATAAATCCATATTCTGTCCTGTAGCTGAATTTAATTTTTCTGAATCAGGTTACTGTTTCCTGGTTACACACTATATATGTCTACTTAGATGATCTAAACTAGGACTTGTGTCATGTGGTCTTGTTAACTGCTTTTTAATGTTTTTAATTACTTCATATTGAGTAGTAGAATAGTTTAGTTTCATATGAGCAAACATATATGGGGCACAAATCTCCTATCCCCTGCTGCAGCCCCAGCCAGAGATTTTTAAACAATTCTGAATGATAAATAGGGCCCTCTTCCTCACAGGCCAAAGAAAGCAAGGTACATAACCTAGCTACAATAAAAAAATACATTTTTATGCTATTTACTAATCTCAGTTCTGTTCCTCCTTTGCTTGACTCTAAGCAGCAGAAAATATTAACTTTGCATAGCATCTGCCAAAAGATTTGGTTGGAGCTAACTGCTGAAATCGGAATTGAGTGTGACTCAGAGTGTCTGAAATCACTAACTTTGAAAATTCTTCCCCATTCCAGGTCATGGCTGTTGCAGGTCTGGATTCCAGTAAAGCTCATAAACATTCACCAAGTCGTTCCACACGTTCATGGGCTACCCCACCTGCAACCCCTCCCAACAGGGACCGTACCCCATATTACACACCTCTAATCCAAGTTGACAGGGCTGAATCTACAGAACATATGAATGGTAGCCTGCCTTCCTTGCACAGGAGCTCTTGGTACACAGACGACCCTGATATCTCCTACCGAACATTTACACCAGCCAATTTAACAGTACCTAATGACTTTAGGCATAAACACAGTGACAAACAGAGGAGTGCAGACAGTTTGGTAGAAGCGGTAAGTATTACAGAAACTTCTAAAGTCATCAAGAGTGTCTGCTTAGCATTTGTGTTAACATCAAAATGCTTATCATTCAGTCTACACAATCTCTCTGAAAATGCGGTATTTTCACTTTCAACTGAAACTGATCTCAAGTAAAGATAGGGAAACTTCTCAGTTGCTGTGTTGTAAAGGGTCAGAGGGCTGAGAGGTAGGCTGGAAGAGATCAGCAGAAGGAAAGTTGGGAACATCAAGGACAGGGTTTAAAATGGACTTTAAGCTTTCTACCTAATGAGGATCAATTGTGAAATATCCTCTCACAAGAGCTGATGATGCTTACCTGTGTTTTCTCTGCTTTGTTTCCACTTATTTATTTATATTATTTAATATGTATAAACAGCCATTTTTGCAGTAATCTGATCAAAGATGAGGAACTCTATGATAGCTGTGTACTGGCGAGAGGGTGAACAAAGACAACCGGATTGATTTGCAGATGTACTAAAGAATGTTAGAAGTTCTTTTGTGTTAATAATATTAACATGTTTCATTTCAGACTATATTCATGTTGCATATTCAGACTATTTTCATGTTGCATTTCAGACTATAGCAGTTGCTGTTCTTGCTTTCATCTATTATTTCCTTTGACTGCTACAAGTTGAGCAATGTATTTCACTGTTTCCAAATGGGACTTCAGCATCCTTCTTCCATGTATTCTAAAATACCTAGAATGTATCTAGAACTCTGTTTCAGTAACTTATCCCAGTTTTCTCATCTGGGATTTAGTAGCTGCTGTTCTGTGTTTATAAGACTCCTCCTAAGTTTCTAACAACAGCAACTGAATGTATTGCATTATCAGTTACAGTACCATATAACTGATACAGCGTAGTTTGAAGCTATTTGATTGTTGATTTGTGAGTTAGCATGGAGTTTCTAGTATTTTCCACAAATGAAAAATGTTTTTATGATATGTCTGTTCTTCCATAATTCTGCTTTATACCTCATTCTCTGCTCTCCATCTGCCAGGTACTTATATCTGAAGGCCTAGGAAGGTATGCAAAGGACCCTAAATTTGTTTCAGCTACAAAACATGAGATTGCTGATGCTTGTGACATGACTATCGATGAGATGGAAAGTGCGGCAAGTAATCTTCTCAATGGAAATATTAGCAATGGGACCAATGGGGATATGTTCCCCATTTTAAGCAGACAAGATTATGAACTTCAAGAATTTGGTCCTGGCTACAGTGACGAAGAACCAGAACCAGGACGATATGAAGAAGATTTAGCTGATGAAATGATATGCATTACAAGCTTATAGTATTTAGCAAGGGAAATGATTTTAAATAACAGAAAAAGTGCCTCATAGTTCAAAGATGCTAGGCACTAGTTGGGGTTAACCGATCAAGTCTTGTACAAGTGACGTCACGCCTCAAGGAAGCCATAACTAATAAACAGATTATCTCCGGGTTGCTGAAATGTGATCAGAGCTGCAGCACATCATCTCTTCCCACAGAATCTTCAGTTTCTCTGTAGGAATAAGGTTATTTTGGAAAGAAGTGGGTTCTGACAATCAGTTTTTTGAGGGCTAGAGTGGGATTCTGAGGTGTAATATCTTGCCTGTCCTTCAACTTTGTGCTGCTGTCCTTCATAGTAGAGCGGGATTCTGTCAGTGAAAATGTGTAAGTCCAGCACAACACGAGGTGAGTGATGACAACCAATAATGTCATTACCTCAGTACTCAAGAGCATATCAGCTATCCATTGCATATCTATTCTAATACTGTTTTCAAACCTGCCTCCCAATTTCTTTTCTTAATGCTCTTCTAAAACATGGTTTGTCATGCTCTACCTGTTAGAGATCATTGGAAAAAGAAGTTATATAAAGAATATTCTGTCATATGTAACATCAGTTTACATAGCAAAATATCATTCAGATAGTCTGTTTTATGACTATCACATTAAGGGCAAAATATACTGGAATAATTGCATTCTTACTAATGCACTTGCAACCAGGTTAAAGTAGAATTAGATAAGATAGTTTGCTAAAAATTATATAGTAGAAATTATTGTAAATGAATTGTAATATACAATGATTTGTATTTGTAAAGAGATGTTCTATATTTTGTAATTATTGTACCGTAATTGAACTGCAGCAATATTTATGGACCCTAATTATTGTAACTCTCCACAGAATTCTAGATATGAGTATTTTTACTTGGAATATATAGATCTATAGCATAAATATTTAAATAGAGCCACCTCTCATTGTAAATCTTTTTGGGATAAAGTGTCAAGTTTGAACTTGACAACACAGACTTTTTTTTTTAACATTATGGTGTCAAATGAATCTCTCTGTGTAAGGGATGCACAGTTGACCATTTGCAGTCTTATACTTGGAAAGGTAAAAGATTTGAAATTATTTTAACATTTTGATTGAAAAGTAAGTTGTAATTTTATTTTTGTATTAATCCCATGCTACTGAAATATTAAAATTATTTAAAAATTGGCAAGTTCATGCCAGGGTAGTACTCATGGGACAGTTTGTCTTGACAAAGTACATTGCCTATGTACCCTACTGTGATAGAAAGCATCTAGGGCAGAAACTGTTTCATAGGTAAAGGAAAATGCTTTACTAAGTATTGCTTACTTTGCTCAGAAAAAGAAGAAATATGACTAAATGATTCTTCACAGAACCAAAAAAATAATAATAATAATAATAATAATTATATAAAAAGTATACTACTTCATTGCCTCTACCTTTCTGTTTTATGTGTATTATTTCAAAGATTTATTTTTATGCAATCAAAAGAGGGCTGAGATATTGTTCATAATGCAGTAAAACCCTGAAATGACTTTGAGGCTAATACAACCTTGGAGGAAAATCAAAAAATACTGAAAGCTACTGTCTATTTTGTTAGCACTGGATAAAAATGACTTGTTCTAACAAGTTGCATTATCAGGTTTTACCTGTAATTCATATGCTAGATAGCAATCCAGTTCACATTTTTACAAATGTGATGTTTAAAACATGTCAATAAACATTTTGTACATAATGACAATTTCCTATGAATAGCATACAGACTTCCTCTGGAATCATTCTTATTTCAAATGCCAGGATAAGAACTTAAAGGTTTGTAAATTCTTTCTTGACCTAAATCATTTTGTATTAAAACAAATGCAAAATGTTCTTCAAAATAAAACTGTGTAATAATTTTATTATACTTGGGACTCCTTTTACTAACAGTTTTTCACCAGGAAGCTCCAAAAGTGAAATTCTGTTTGTACCATTTGGAGAATGGGAAGGAACACATGGAATTTGATAACAGATCTACAGTGTTAGAGTGTGCAAGCTCTTTATGAATAATTGCTGTTAACCAGAAAGGAGAAAAGTGATTAGAGTATTTGTGTGAACAAGGGCTGTATTCCTGCTGTAATCCACTCTAGGGGATTAATACTCCCAGAGGTGTGAATGTATGGAAGCAATCAAGCAAATCTGACTTAACATTGCTTACGAAGTGAAATCTGTTGTGCCTGTCTGTCACTTGGGTGGGTTTCCCACCATAGTCATTTTGTTACTCATCTCAACTTACAGGAGCAAAGTTTCCGATACCAAAATAAAGTCTTCAGATCTTATTTCAGAGAAATAGCAGTCAGAAGTTTTCACAGCTCCACCTCATTTCTGCAAAACACCTTTAAGGAAGCTGGAGATGGAACATTTAAAACAAAAACAAACAAACAAACAAAAACCCCGCAAGTAATTGCACAGATTTTTCTCATAGCACATCTAATGTAGCAGATTGCACTGAACAAGACTTTTTTAATTAAGCATATGTCTGAACAGACAGAAGAAGATATGCTGAGTTCACTGTATTTTCTTGCTAGTAGTATAGTTAGTCCTCAGTTTCAAATGGTCTGATAAGAAGGATACTCTTTGGGGCAGATATACTATTTTATGAGAATAGTCCTTATGAACAGTGGAGGAAATTCAGCTACAAGCCATGTTCTATATTAATGGTTTAACTATACATAGAATATCTGTTCAATTTTATCACAGAAGCGTAAGGAAAAAAAGGTTAGCCCACATATGTATGATTACATGGTAACTGGCAGCCTTAGAATGAATCACAGAATTGTAGTCATCACTCAATTAAAAGAAATGAAAGTGATCTCAACAATTAATGCATTTATCATGATTTCCCAGATATGCTTACATGTGAACATAATGACAGAAAGCATTATGGTTGTCCATTAGCAAGGAGTTAAATACAACTAAGAGAAGTTATATTCACTTAAAGATTGTACATATAAAATATGTTCATATTTGAACATTATCCTTTGTTTGGAGGTTGGATGACAGAACAATATAAACTAAAAGAACACTGCAATAAGATGCTTGTGTTGTATCTGCAGTAACTTTTGAACTGTTACAAGATGCACAAATGCTTTTATTTTTTTCCCAACAATCCATGTCATGTAACATTTTAATAAGATGTACAAATACTTTAATATGTTTCTGTTACAGAAAATGTCTGTTACAACAACCCCACCATTTACTTTCCCTGTCACCTTACTTATTTGTAGAGTAATTGAAATCATACACTTGAAAATTATTTTAAAGTATTTTAAGCTGGAGAAACATCAGAACATCACCGGAATGGTGTACAAAAAGTGTCCTTAAATGAAACAAAATGCAGTTTTACAAATACAGCTATTTTCTGCTGCTTTTAATAGCACTTCTCATACTAAAGTAATTTGAACTGAGATTCATGTACAGAAAGAAAGGAGTTTGGTCACTTTTCTTTCTTAATCTTATTGCCCCCTGCCAGAGACATCCAGCTGTCTCCAAAGCACCCACAGCAAGCTGTTCCCATGGAAATGCTGCTGCTGGCACTCAGTACCATTGCTGGTTGAAGCCAGGCTGGCAGGTCTAGGAATTTCCCAATTCTTACATCAAAAAACTCTGACAGTGAACTCTTTTTGAATACATAATGTACTATCATTTGCTTATCTATAGAAAAAATATCTGAATAGAAATGGAAATAATATTTGCTTAACCACTGTATTATTTTGTTAAATAATGGCCTGTGATCCGCAATATTCATAAGGTGTGTAGATGGCTGATATTTAACTTGCAGGCTCCCAGTGCTCCACAGAGCACATTAGAACATTTTTATCTGTTCTAAGCACCCTTAGCAGACTGAACTCTGCCAGGAGTAAGAACAATTGTAACAGAAATTCAATCCCAGCAGACACACAGAGTGCAGGAGAATCAACATTTTCAAATACCTGAAGAATTTCCTTAGGACTACATCAAAGAAATACATGAAGGAGACATGAAGTTCTGTAGCGGTGAGGTCTAAATTAATAAGGCAGCTACAGCTGCGCAGCAGTGAAAAAAATCTTCAAATGTTGAGAATAACTTGCAAGGCTGTATGTTTAGAACTGTGAGAAAAGATGATGCTTCAGAACAAATGCCTGATTATCTGATTACACAATGCAGCAACGCGTACCTTGATTGTTAAAAGCAGCAAGACAGGTGAATTTAAGACACATGCAATTCTATATGTTTATCTAACCTCACCATTTCCTAATCTCTCAGAACTTGAAATAATGGCAGATGACAGCTCTGTGTGTTCAAGTTATGTAATATAGCAACTAGTTAATCCTCTGCAGTTGCATAATAACAATTCCCATGCTGCATGTCTAGATTGGAAACCCATGTTGTGAATCTGCAAACGCAGGAACTTCACTGTCACATTGTTCCAAATTGCTTCCTCTCTCAAGTGCACAGGACTGCGGTGAGTCTCATCACTGGTATTATTCTGAACATCCTTAATAGTTCTTATCCTAAATGACACTAAGATACAGTGAGTTTCTTTAAATGAAGATCTCAGAAGAATAGCTGCTGAATAGAAGCTATTAGTTACTATAAAAGTGGTACATTATACATAATTCATGCTCTCCCTAAAGGCACAGTCGTGGCAGGTGAATTGTCTTACTAATACAGCCAGTCAATCACCTCTGACTTTATTGTTCCCCGCATTCCAGGCAAATATATAACGTACATAGAAAGGGTTTACCTGTTTCCTTTGGGAGTGATGTTCACTTCTATCCCCTTCCATCTTCAAATTTTTTATTTACTCTTTATACAGATACTCTGATCAATTAAGTCCTTTCTCTCAGCTAGCAGCAGGGTTTCCAACCATTACTTTGCAGCAGCACTAGGTAGAAAAATCTGCCCTAAACATCTGCAGTTGTCCCTCTAGCCAACATCTGAGTCAGCAGCTTTTTTGAAATTTGTTTTTTTTTTCAGTTTGCTCAAATGGTGTAAAATTCCACTTTTCCTGGGGAAAAAGAAAGGCATATTCTGTTCACAGGAACTACTGTGCAATCTGAAGGTACAGAAGCATTTGCTTTATAATTCAACAATTATTTAGTCTGAAGTTAGCTTGGACTACTTAACAAATCCATAAAATTAAATGGTTTTGGATCCAGTTAATGAATTCCTTTTCTTTAGGTGTATTATTTTTGTTCCTTTGTTTTTCAGTTCAGCACCAGTAAGTTAGATGCACACAGAAACAGCCATGAAGATCATGCATTTGTTTGACATATCTGAAGATAGTAAACAAAGATTTAAGTCCTAACTGAAGTATAGCATTGGTTTACTGAGTAAGTCATTTGCCTTTGAATTCAAAAAGATCTCTACTCATATCACTGATATCTTAGTTAATGTAGTTATTTTGAGTGAACTTCCATTTTAAAGCTACCTCAGCTATAAATATTTTTAATTATTTTTGATTGGTAGTTGGGCACACTATTGAGTATATTTGCATGCACTCATCTTTGAGCAAAGATCAGTAACTTTATGGAAATTATTGGGCATGTGGATCCCTTACAATGGTACAAGATAAAGCAGCACAACTAAATGAGCTTAAATTGCAAACTGAATTCTATTGTTTCTTGAAAAAAATAATAATAAAAAAAAGCAAGGGTAAAATCCAGCTTTCCAATATGCTTTTATAAATATCAGTTCTATTTCTGCATTTATTAGAAGAAAAAAAAAAAGTTTTTGATAAATGTATTTTATGTCTTTTTTTCTAAGTTCAGAGTGCTAAGTATGGTAAAGTCCAACTTCTAGTAAGGATTTGTAAATTATGCATTCTTCCCATAAAAAACACATCTGACAAGTTCTGGACATGTTAAGTGTCTCTTCTGTGAATTCTGATACTACTACTTTGGCCTCTAAGTACATAAATGCTTGCATTTACTTTGCAGAATGTGGGAATTACTGAGTAGCTGTAATCTTGGGTAATAATCTCAAAACAGTTAAAATTCTTCCTTTAAATAATAAGACATATCATAAAGACTTTCAAAATAACACACACTGTTCTCTTCCTGTCTAACTAAAATAAACAGCTTGAACCAACTGATTTAAATATATATATATATATATATATATATATATATATATATATATATATATATATCTAATCTGGTATAACCAAATGGACCAAATTAATAGCTGCTTTACTGTGATGTGTATTTTTCTATGGTATTTATTTTGTTGGCCCTTCCAATTGAGATACAAACACACAGATGAAAAACTAAGTGGCAAAAATGTGAAAGGATGACAACAGTGTTTATCGTTGTTTCTCCAAGGTCTTGGGCTTATATACAGGAACATTTTTCTCCTGAAGTGATGGGAGCCCCTTAATTATATCTGCAGCTTTCTCTGCTATCATAATAGTAGGGGCATTCAAGTTCCCACTGACTATACTGGGCATTATTGAGGCATCTACTACTCTCAAATTTTCAACACCAATTACTTTTGTTTGGGGATCAACTACAGCGGTGCTATCTGAAGGCTGGCCCATTTTACAAGTGCAAGAAGGATGATAAGCACTATCAGACTTCTGTCTTATAAAGGCATCTATTTCTTTGTCAGACTGAACGTTGTTTCCTGGTTGAATTTCAGGTCCACGAAATTTTTCAAAAGCTTTCTGAGCAAAGATCTCTCTGGTCAACTTGACACACTGGCGGAATTCCCAAATATCTCTTTCTGTATGGAGAGAAAATAAGATGGCTCTAAGTACGCTCTACCATAGTAGAAAAAAAGAAAAAAGAAGAGGAGAGGAGAGGAGAGGAGAGGAGAGGAGAGGAGAGGAGAGGAG